TTGTAAGCCTGACAAGCAACATGTATCTCACTTTTCAGATCAGACTAAGTTACACAAAAATGGCAGAAGCAGCTCAAGAGCGGGTGCAGACATCGATGACCAGCATGGTTGATGACATAGATAAGAGCTATCTAAGAAAGATGCAGGTATGTATCTGGCTGGGACTCACATTCTAAGCTTATGCTCCTGTTTGGTTTTGTGTGTGGCATGACTTCTACTCTAAAGGGTAGTTATCCACTATCCAGCTAGTTAAAGGGACCCTCCCACCTTCAAAAAAGTTAATGAATTGGCATGAAAGTGATGTCCCTTGGTTCAGAAAGAGCGAAAACGAATATCTACCAAATTTCACCGAAAAATATTCACTGGTTTTCAAGATATTAGGCTTTTACTTTTGTTTACTTTTTGGGATCTCCCCTGTTACTAGCGACTTTATTTGGAAGCAATAATTTGGCAGCCTTAAAGTGCGGCCGACGTTGCGCGCAAAGCAGCGTATACCACCACGTGTTAACGATGGTTTTAGTCTAAGATTTAAAAATCGTTAGATCTCCGCTGACGTCACAAATTCTAAGGGGGCATTCCAATGCATTAGCCCCTTAGAATCCGAAAACTGCAAGTTTTAAATTCCATATCTTCGAATTAAAGCATTTTTCGATGTTGTGAGTGCCCAAACCGGTATTTGCAGGCCATGGCCACCAATTTGGCTATCTCAACTCAAAACTAATGTTAAGGTGGGAGTGTCCCTTTAACTGACTTGGTCCCTTGTCGGCAGGGTGACATGCATCGCTGCGCTGCTCGCTGCTGCGATGATCCCAGCTCTTCAATTGATAAGGTGCATGGTTGCATCGAACAGTGCTCCATTCCGCTGCAGAAGGCGCAACACTTCGTCCAGACACAAATGAGTGACATTCAAGTAAGTACCTACCTACATGAGAAAACCACCGATGATGTGCGTAATTAGCAGGGTTGGCAGGGGGTGGCAAAAACTGGTTTTGGCCAGTGGTTTTAACCGGTTTAAACCGGCTGGCAGAAACCCTGGTGGCAAGAACTGGCAAAAACTGGCTGAAACTCAGATGGCCAAACCTACAACTTTTCTAGTTAGGAATGGATTTGAAATGTACAAATGCATTTCTGGTAGTTATATAGATGCACTTAGCATTCTGAAGCTGCCTCATTACTTATCCCTGCTTAAAATGTCTATTGTCTATGCATGTCGGTAGACATCCACAACGGAATGTATTTCCATGTAGGGGTGAGGTGGGGCAAGGCGGCCACGGTAAGTAGGGTGCCATGCGGTGCCGTGCGCATATCAGTGGCAGATACCCCTTCGCACTTCTGATTGTGCAGGACTCACCCATTCACCCTTGCACTGGCTCATTTGTCACCCCCAAAAGGCATCTTACTAGCTCCTTATGGAAAGCCCCATGAAAATGTTTCTGAGAGCTGTTATGAAGCAATTATGAAGCATCTCAATGGTCAATGTCACTTCTGTTTGAAGGCGTAAAGCTTTCACCGAATTCTCTTTAAAATGTTTCATGTTCAAATTCATGTCTAGGCATAGCATTGTGATATTGCTTAGTTTTTGCCAGTTTTTGCCACTTTTTGCCGGTTAAAACCGGTTTAAACCGGCAAATGGCATAAACTAGTTTTTGCCGGCAAAAATGCCAACCCTGGTAATTAGTGTAGGTATTCATTGCAACATGATATTAAATCGGTTATTTGTGGCTATTCTGTCGATATTTTTTTGCTATGGCTGAGTTTTTAAGTCGGAATCAAGAAATAAAACTGAAAACTCGTCTTCACGAGCCTGTTATTAGCATTTCCTGATACGTTCCTTGACAACCATCATCAAGTGTTGAATTTGTCAATTGTGAATACAATTTGTTGATTTATTTGTGGAAATAGGTAGACCAGTTCTTTCTAACAGTGGCAAAAGTAGTTGCTAGCTATCTTGCTAATTATTCTTTCCTCTTACAACTCACTTCGCAATTACATACGCTTAATATAAATAATGTATGCGTGTCGACTCGTAAATATGTGTACTCTGAACTCTAAAGTGTGTTGTAAATGTAAGTGGCAATGAAATGTAAGCAGGAATTAGTTGACACCTGACGGTGTGATAAAACGTGTCTTTGACGTGGATTATTCACGTTCAGGAGCGTCTTCAGCGGTGCGTAATGCAGTGCCAAGATAAAATCAAAGACAAAGTTGGCCCGAATACTACAGAAGCGGAGGTGAGACATGGTACACTTATCCGTTACATGATGTGGATGACGTTTTGATTTCACAATTGTGACCAATGTTGCCAAGCTACTTCAACAATAATCTCAACCGTATTTCTCATCTCTCTTCAGTCCTCTGTGAATCAGCTTCGAACGCGAAACAAATTTGATGGACCTTGCTAGCGAAGTAGCTGGCCCCGAAGGTCACTTAGCCGCCACGAAATCCGTATGTCCCCACCGTTCATCAGGTGCCCCATCCGTTTGACAGGTCCAGGGCTACAAGGTCGAGTTCGAGGAGTGCGCAGTCAAATGTGTCGACGACAGCATAGCAACATTCCCGAACCACGCGCGGCGAATCAAGGACCATCTACACAAACGAGCCTTTTAGCGACGCACTTCCGCTGTTAGTACCTGTTATTGGTTGTCAATCAATATATGAATGATGCTGATATTAGAGCACGTGATGCGATCATGCGAAGGCCATCGTGGGGCGCCGCCGCGTGTCGTACACACGCGGACGGCCGCCCGCCAGGCCGTGTGACTGACGAGAGGAGCGAATGGAAAGGGTGTGCGGACGGTCTGTCGGTCTGTGCGCCGGGGTCAGCCGGTGGACGCCAGTGGGCAGCTCAGTTTGTCCGGGACCACGACTGCCAAAAGCCGTCACGGCCGCCGGCGGAGCTCAGGAATGTGTCGCGCCTCTGTGACGCCAGCCGTGTGTGTGTGTGTGTATTTCTGTGGCCAACCGGAGGACTGAATGGCGCACGCTGCAGGGAATAAACAAGGCCATTGCGCGGCTGACACTGCCTGGCGTGTTTGGGACGACCGCATTGAACGGTGCGTGCGAGGGCGGCTGGCTGGTGCAGCACACAATGGGTGGTGCACCGGGTCAGGGCGGGTCGGCGGCCGTCTGGCAGATACGGACCGGGTACCGCCAGCCCCTGGTGGGTGCTATCGCCAGGGTCGATCAAAGCCTATACCTGAACCATACCTGAACAATCTGCTTCTGTCGAGCCACAGTGTCCGCACATATTCTCACTCATGGGAATATGATTGGTGAACCGGCGCTTAGCAGGATTATATAATTCAATGTATCTTCATTGATGTCCTACATAATGTCAGTTTTGTCGGCACTCTGCTGGTAAAATTTGTCGATGGACAAATACATAACAATACAGCGGACGCCTACCTGTTTAAATTGCATTGGTCTGGCGAGGCTGGTAAAGACGCTGTAACATCGCTGCTCGAGACCAAAGGGAAGAGGACATTCGTAGTAAGTTTGTGACTGATCTGGGCAGTGGGCTACGCCTTCCGTGCCAATAATTCGCTCTCTGCGAACGTTTGGGTTTTATGTGCTGCGCTGTAGAAGCAATCCCGTTCGTGTATTACTGATATCACTTCTCTGGAGAGAGTGTCCAAAGCACTAGGCAAACACCTGAGTAGAAAGGATGACTTATAGTATATTTGTTCGATAGTTCAAATAATTAACAGCAGCAAAGAAAAACAAACTTGTAGCAAAGCTTCATGTACAAAATACACAAATAGACATCGTGAGCGAAGACGCGAGGAACGTAGTCTGATCAGAAGTCAATGCCGTGACTCCTTGTGGCTCGCCTGGCGCCGCACACTCGGCAGCGACACGCCACGGCCGCGACTCGCAGACACCGGGCTCACTCTCCGCCAGGGAGCCGACCCGGCTCACTTCCACCGGAGACCGCCCGGTTCGCGGACGACTAACGCTGAGCAAAGTGACACACCCGAGCGAATATCGCGTACAAGCCGCACCGCAGGACGGTGCAACGTAATACTGGGCAGACCAGGGCCCTGTTTCACCGGTGATAGCAGCACGCTACTATCAAATTGCGCGAGCTGACGTAATGTGATGACGTCATACTGCTGACGTAAGGGGCAATTCTGGCGCACGATTGCCGCAATATTGTTTTACGTCATCAACTAAATGTTTGAAGTTTACGTCCAAATTCTCCTTAAACCCAACTTATTTTAAATACATTATATTAAAAAAATATATTTAAAATAAATATACTATCATGACTGCGTAAACTCTTACTTTTAGAGGCTCATACGTCACTTAATACCGCGGCCAAGGTCGCGGCAATCGTGCGCCAGAACTGCCCATCACGTCGACAGTATGGCGTCATGACATGACGTCAGCTCGCGAAACGTGATAGCAGCGTGCTGCTATCACCGGTGAAACAGGGCCCAGACTCACAAGCAGGCAATGAAGCATTGGTGACGTTACTGACAGAAGCACACAACTGAATACTGAGAACACGTCTTTGAAAACTAAGACAGCAGAAGGATTTGGATTGGGATTAATTCGGGTGTTTTCGCGTTAGTATCTCTTGGAATGTCGGTAGATGGCCGTTTAGCTGAGCTGGACTCCAGTCCGCGCCTTGGCCCTTCACGGTACAGCGATTCCCTACTCATCAGCCGGCACGACGGCTCCGCCAAGCTCCGTAATAGGTTGAGCCATCACAGGTAGCCGGCATGACTCGGTCGCCGACATTTTGATTAATTGCTTGCTTTCTGCAATACGATTCGGTAGACTATGCGACAAACGACAGAAACGGTCGAGGAGAAATGTTGAATACTGTGACTGGACTGAAACAACGAATATACGTGTACTAGTGATGTCAATTACGGAAAATCGGAATACCGATACCAAACCAAATACCAACCAAAACCACGGGAAAATACCGAAACCAAACCAACTTGGGAAAATGAGGAAAATACCAACTTTTTACCGATTTTTTAGCCTCTTATACATTAAGGGTTTATGATACCAACAAAATACCAAACACATTACGATTGAAATACCAAATACCAAGTTGGTATCGGTTTGGTATCGGTATACCAAAAAGTTGGTATCCGATTGACATCTCTAACATGTACTTTGAACGGATCTCAGACCATGCCGGACAGAGCGGAAGCGATGGCCCGATAGGCGACCGGACGTTCCGGCGCGGGAGAGGGGGAGGGGTAGCCGCGGGCCGGACGGCAGAGCTACGGAGGATTCGGGGTGTAGGTACACGACGGGGCGGCCCTAAATGAGCATTAATTCATCTGTGGGCACAACAACGACTTCAGACGGCATCGCTATGCCCACGTCAGGTCAGTGGTCTAATTCGTGCGAAACTAGAAGGCAACGACATGACATTCAGCAACCAGCACACATTTCGCAAGCAGATCAGCCGTTGGCACACCTGCTTACTCAACCAGCGGTGGAAGAAAAAGTCAAACAATCGTTAAATGGATGTGTGATGTTTACGCCCTTATCTGCGCAAAAAGAAATATCAATGAAAAGTCGCCATCAGCCCCTCCTATTAAATCTAAATATACAAATGTCAACAGACAACATTTCATAAAACGCTATTTGCCGTACGATTGCATCTGCCCATCGTTTTTCTGCTACGATTTAACTACGTTATAAATTACTACGTTACTAGGCTGAACGATGAATTCGTGTGGCCGTGAGCGGTCAGTCACGGAGCCGGAGCCCTGTGGTGTGGGCGACTCACTATCCAAATATAACCCGGTACTGACGGAGGCCCGAGCCAAGATGACAGGACGGACGGCGGGGACCGACAGGGGCGGTGTGGGAGCGGGGGAGGGGTACGGGGGGGCGCGTCCCCACGCTTGGGATTGTGCATGCTGGCAAACTTTTCACAGGAAATTCGAAACTTGTTATCGTACATGGCATTACATATGACATAAACGTAACGACTACCCTTTCGCTTTAAATTAGTGCACTTGTTTGGAAAAAATGTGGGCATTGGAAGAGTCGAGGGCGAAGCAGATCCACCGCTGTGGAGAGTAAAGCGTGCCTGTGCACCGCCACGGACTTGAAGTAACATGAGGTTCACCTACTGATGGGACCACGCGGCGCCGATTCATAACGGTACCGTGATACCCGACAGCGGGCGGGTCTCCCACAGGCCAGCGTGTAACCGCTGTCCCGGCCTACCTACATCCGTCCCGGACCGCCTGCGGCTCGTCAGCGCCCGCCGGCCGACAGCCCGCTCACAGCCGGTGGATGGTCTGGTGGTCCTCGAACTGCGCCAGGCTGTCCAGGTTCTCCCACCAGCGCATCAGCCACGTGTCGCTGATGAGCTGGAACCAGGGCGTGGGCAGCACGCCGTCCGCCCGCAGGCGCGCCAGGAAGCCGGTCAGCTCGTGGCGCGCCACGTAGTCGACCGCCTTCACCTCGTTGGGGTTGGGCGCCAGGTCGACGTCGGCGCGCACCACCAGGATGTAGTCCATCTCGTGCTCGCCCCAGACGCCGCCGTCCGAGGCCGCCTTGTAGTGCATCCGCGTCAGGTAGTGGAAGGCAGAGGTCGGCACCTGTCGGAGAGCAGTAGCGTCACCATCCGACCCACGGGAGTAACGTAAACAAATGCACAGGAAACACCTACTTAATTTACCGTTGCCTGCACTATGCACACAACACTTTAGTCAGGTTGCAAGAGAACTGCTCTGATGAATACCGGCAGGAGACAGACGACGATTAGCGACCCTGGGCTGCAGACCGGGGATCTCAGCAGTCAGTATCCTCTGACCTGTTTGGGGTCGATGCCGAGTTCGATGGCGAGCCGGCGGCGCGCGGCCCGGATGACGCCCCTGCCGCCCTCGGCCTCAGTCTCGCCGGGCACGGCCAGCGGGTGGCTGCAGCATGTGTTGGTCACGTTGCCCGGGAATGTTATCTGGCGACAACGGACACACGTCGGTTGGCGGGTACGGAGACACAAAGTTACGCAACTGGAGAGAACGATGGTAAAACGCTACCACACAGGGCGAGGGTGGTCCTAGTCGGATGCATCACTTGCGATTGAAATTATACGCCTAATCACATCATACGCCGTTGTTTCATAAATGTGAGCCCACATAAACCACACACAGACCAGGACCAGGAGTGACGGTGATCGGAGAGGACCGCGTACCTTGACGTCGGAGCGCCGCTGCAGCAGCAGCCGGTCGCGCGAGTCGAACAGGAACACGCTGAAGGCGCGGTGGAGCGGGCACGAGCCGTCGCTCCACTGGTGGCAGCGCCGCTTGGTGGCGGCGCCCACCTGGCGGTCGTTCTCGTCCACCAGCAGACACATCTCGTCCAGCAGCAGCTCCTGCTGGCGGTCCAGCGCCGCCGGCACGCTGTGCAGTGACGAGGCCGCCCGTCTCACCTCACCTGCAAACAGGCAGCATCAGACCCTCCACAGCAAAACGGGAGCAAACCTTAACATCTGTGACCAGGAGTCAGGTAAGATTCATTACTTCACCAGCAATGGAAGGAAAGCACAAATGCCTTTTGATCTCAATTAAGGTGTCAAAAGAGCAAAAGCTATCTGTCCTCATCAAAGGTGTCAACTCCAAATGACAATATATTTTAGTAGCCATAACATCTATAGTCTATACCGTGCATTGAACAGAGAAGAGAGAACAGAGCCTTTGTCAGTAGGTATGTAATGTAAATTATGATGAATGTATGCTAGTAAGCTAGAGAGTTTAAAATCCTTGATTATTTTCATCTTATCAACAAAGATCAACCAATCCCAGCACAAAATTTCAATCAGTTCCAACCAAGTGGAATTAAGCATTGTATCTTTACAGAGTTTTGATCATATTCAAATGAAAATAAGATAATTACCAGTGAGTGCAACACAAGTCTCAGGTAGATTAGGTAGCAGAAAATTGTCTGACTGCCATCAGGCATGCTTTCAAAGGCTAATAACAGCCTAGCAGCCACACAATCCCTTGACTTGCTACCTTTTTCAAATGGATACTTTGTTTCTTCTACTATAGTTCGTTTTTTTTTTTTCAAAAGGACGCTGGCTCCAAGTATGTTTTTCAAACAAGCACGTGTTTTAGCGAGCAAAACGAGCAAAAACTGAACCTGAGAAAATCGAACGTCGACTACTTTTAACATGTGATTTCTTCCCGATAATTTCCATATGGGCGTTTTGGAAGCAGATATGATAACAGCAGTGACGTCATGCTGTCGAACATGTATTTCAATTTAACTTATGACTATCATGGACGGAACCGCTCACTCGATTATAAGCTCGGCAACAGTGAAAAACTAAGTTTCACTCAAATTCGTTGACACTTGTCCCACTGCACGGGCATTTGGGTGCCTGCTGCCACCAGTGACGTCATCATAGTATGTTCATTTTTAAGAAACAAATTTCCTGCTACTTACCGTGCAAAATTTGAAATCGATTATTTTTTCGGTAAGAAATTCTTGGCCAGACACTGAAGCTGCCAAAACTCACGTGAGAGCTTCGATATTGAACTTTGAGCCTACGTCCTTTTGAAAATAAACGAACTATAGCTATAGACCATTTCTGATGCATGTGCATGTGCAAAATAAGTACCTATCAATTTTGTTCTCAACAAATAAGTGGGCCATCACTGGGCCAAGCCAAGTGCCTTGAAACATTGATATTACACCATGTGAGGTACCCAAAAATCAACCCATTTATCAGGATTAGGGTGCTGCAGGGGTTGCTTTCAGATCTTGAGAATGGCTTGGATGAATAAGCTCAAAATTGAAAATTGGGACACTATTTGCAAATCATTAGTAGGATTAACACTCAAGTCAGTTGCAAGAACAACATATTGCAGGTAGGAGGCAATGACCATGTTGATACAACAAATGGATGATGCATCCAACTTAGTGCAAAAATTTCACCCCATTGCCCCATTGGCCTGTACTGTTTCCAAGCAATACCTAGCCTGCCAAAGGGAACAGACTTGTTACATACATATACACACATACCAACTCAGATGTTTTGACTTTTATGATATAAAAAACAAAACTTGCCCAGCGTTTGATGTCTCTTTGACGACAAAGATTCTACGTCATCCAGCCAATCACGTTTCATTACCGCAGCTGACTGAACGGGATTGGCCGGATGGCGTAGAATCTTCGTCGCCCGAGAGACATCGAACGCGGGGTTGATTTCTTATGTGTAAAACCTTACTGGTTTATTGCCCCCCCCCCAAAAAAGCGCCGTACTGGTTAGAAACCATTCACGTTCACGAGATCAAACGTACCGATTGGCGTTGACATAGACATTTGTCGAGACGCAAGAATCCCTGAGGTCGTGCGAAACCCTCTTAAAAGTGAGGCTATCATACTTTCCATAAATATGATAAAATTGCCAACTTATTCGCAGCTACTCAATATAAACCCCTCATACACAGCCCACAAGAACCGACACATCGAATGTTGTTGACGTGACACTTGTCAGCATAACATTGTTGTCAGCACAAAGGATGATTTGTGTTTCATTGGTTTTGTATAAATTGTTTTTAATGACATCACAGAAACGGTAAATATATTTTCTCCTATGGCAAAATTGTAGATGTAGCGAAATACTTAGGGCAAACGAAGCCAAATTTTCTGATTGTAACAATATTTTTGAGTTGACATGAATGCAAATTTCAAAGGCAGTTTCAAGACTATAAAACCAATATTCGTTAGTTTGGTGTATGACGACATAGGAATTTTAAGTCAAATGAATCAATGTATGTTTGACAGAAACGGCGCAGCTGTTTCAAACAGCTACAAATGGTAGATAGTGGGTAGATAATAACCCAAATTCAAAGTGGTATTTTTATGATGACGTCATTGCTTCTCATTTGCACCATAGTAAGTTGGTCCAGTTGCAAATCCTGTTCACATTAAGTATTCTTTAACAAGAATTTTGTAATGAATTATGCAAATTGTGCAAATCTGCTTGTTTTGAGACTTAGAAATGGGCAAAAAGCGCGTTCACTTTAAATGAAATTGAAATTTATGATGTCATTTGACTTGCCCCCATCATGCCCGATTATTTTCAGATGACTCCAATTTATCTAACAAAACACAGCAATCTTGACCAAATCTTGAAACCACAGTGTATAGCTTGAAACACAACCACACAACATCAACGACGAGGGACGAGAAAGAGGAGGTAGGTTCGCAATCTAAATATCACAGTGTAGATAAATATAGTAGCTAAATATGACCTATATATGGCCTTGTTCACAATTCTCTGTAATCCAATTCAGACCTTTATTTAGGCCTTACGAGCGGCCTTACAAGCCTCCGATTTTTTTTTTCAGAAAGTGAAAATTGGTGATATGTAAGACACCTCAGTCTTCAGATACAGCCTCTGGTCTTACTGCATGTCTCTGTATTCCTTTGTTCTCAGCTTGACCGAACACACAACACACAACCAGCCGCGCCTCCGGCCGCGCTCCACACACACCCTCTGCCCAGCGCTCTGCTCTGCTCTGCTCGCGCGCCGACGCGCGACCGCTTCCCGCCACAGCCGGGAACACGATTTAGCCGTGCATCCTTCACGGCTCTCGGCCACTAAATAATATTATACCTACTTACAGATACGTAGCATTCCATTTGTTCACTGGCCATCTCTGTCACCACCACCAGAGTGCGAAGCAAGGCAATAGCCAACTGCAACAGTGACGGGGAACGAGATGCACCAGCTAGGTTGACTGTTCTGCGTCAACTAGGCTAGAAATCTGCACCAGCCCATAACAAAAAAAGACCAAGTACTTTTATTACATTATTTATAAATCTGTAATTGTAACAAGATCAAACTGCAATATAAGTATTTTCTCCCAGGCTGACCCCATTGTGTCCCCAGTGCACCATTTTTTCTTGACAATCCTGCCCCAGCACAGCATTTCAGCACAGTATCACTAAGGGCTCGCTGTTTCACTCCTCCATGGACCATGCATACAGTCACAGCTGCCACATCTGGCATCATGATGAATTTGCACCACACAGTGAGGCAGTGACCAGCACACTGACAGATAGTTGCTGCAGGAACAAAATCTGATAATAATTAAGACTACCATACTTTTTAGTCTGGATCTCTGACAATGTGTCTTATAGGCGTCATTCACCTTAGGCAGCTCAGTGCCAGTGCCCAGCACTTAAGTTCTGCATTGGCATGCCACTTTTAAGTGTAAATAAGCTGTAAGGTGCACACTATTTTGCTGAAAATCTGTATTGACTGAGCATCAGGTTCCAACAATTCATCACCACTGTATATCTTACCTTTTTTACTGTTTGGTATTCTCAGCAGCCTAGAAATACACAAATGAAGATTGAAAGCATAAAACAGGTATTTGTGGATCCATGTGTTCATCAACATGCACCCCTCTCAATAAAAACAGGCTATGTATTTTCTATATTCAAAAATCCAAGTTACTGAGCAATTTGATGCACAGCACCAATTAAATAGCAGTTTAACATGCTATTAGGTGAGCCATGGACTCAGAAACTGACTAAAGTCTGTGCAATGACCTCCTTTCAGCAGCACTGCCGGCGGCAGTGTCAACAGTAGCACAGCAATATGCCATCCGTTTCGTCCAAGCTGCTGGCGCCGCTGTCGCGCCGTACCGGCCTGCAGGAGGCCAGTCTGGCGCGGATGGCGGCCGTGCTGGTGTTCAGCCTCTACCTGTACCGGGTGGGCCGGCGCCCGCTCGGCCGCCTGCTGGCCACGCTGATGGCGCGCCGACAGCGCACCGTCTCCGAGGGTGGCGGCAGGCGCCGGAGGCAGCCGCACCGCGCCGCCGCCGCCGTCAACAAAGAGTTCGCCGTCGAGCTGCTGCGGCTGCTGCGCATCATGGTTCCGGGCGTGCTGAGCCGCGAGAGCGCCCTGCTGGGGCTGCACACGTGCACGCTGGTGGCGCGCACCTTCCTCTCCGTCTACGTGGCCACCCTCGAGGGACGCATGATCAAGTACATCGTGCGCAAGGACATCATCAACTTCACACGCATGATCCTGCGCTGGCTGTGCGTGGCGCTGCCAGCCACCTACACCAACTCGATGATCCGCTACCTGGAGAGTAAACTGGCGCTGGCGTTCCGCACTCAGCTGGTGCGATACGCCTATGAGCGCTACTTCGCCAACCAGACCTACTACCGGGTGTCCAACCTGGACGGCCGGCTGGAGAACGCCGACCACTGCCTGACCGACGACGTAACCACCTTCACCAGCTCGGTGGCGCACCTGTACTCGCACCTGACCAAGCCGCTGCTGGACATCGTCATCATCGTCATGGCGCTGGGGAAGCTGGCCAAGAGCCGCGGCGGCGCTAACGTGCCTGGTGAGCTTAGTAATGGATTGAGTAAAGTAAGGCAGCTCGTTAGAATAATGCCTCGTCGTCTGTGCTGATTTTGCTGATAATGACATCGCATTTCACTTGTCCTACTGGAAGGCGTCGCTCATAACGTCTTTTTATGACGCTGTTGTCATATCTGCTGTCCCTGTGTCCCAGGGATGCTGCTGGCCGGTCTGGTGATCGGCCTCACCGGTCAGGTCCTGCGCCTTCTCTCGCCGCCGTTCGGCAAACTGGTGGCCGAGGAGGCCAACCGCAAGGGCTACCTGCGCTACATTCACTCCCGTGTCATTGCCAACGCCGAGGAGATCGCCTTCTACGGCGGCCACCAGGTGGGTGTCCGGCCGGCCGGCTATCTGGGCCCTCGAGGCCGGCCGGCCGGCGGCGTCTGCCCTATCGCCCCCAAGGCCGCCGGCTGGGAGTAGGTAGATGTGGGTCACGCACGGATGACGGGAGGGGGGGGGGGGGGAGGCGACATGTGCTTCCGTAAAAACTGTTGGGTGTTGGTGGGACATACACCGGCGCTTTTAACCGTCATTGAATGGAATACCCGCGTTAAGTCGGTGTGAGCTACCGTAATAATTTTGTGATAACAAATAGCATATGTAATAGGTAAATGGTTGTACGATATGGCGGATAGCGTTTAAAAGTGCGTTGTTCATATGTTAACGTCGATCTTTTTTTAATCACGTGCAATCTTATGGTCCAAATTCGGATGCGTAGTACCAACACTTTCCGACGAATATCTCACAGTGAATAAGCTCATTTTTTCGGTTGAAAACTGGAAGTATGGATACTATCTTCTAGGCTGAATGTTCTAACCACCGTTTGCCACTCCGTTCCTGCCGTCGCTCGTCAGGTTGAGATGGGTATTCTGGAGACGGCCTACCGGTCTCTGATGCGCCAGATGAACACCATCTTCCGCAACAAGCTGTGGTACGTGATGGTGGAGCAGTTCCTGATGAAGTACGTGTGGTCCGGCTGCGGCATGGTCATCATCTCGCTGCCGCTGCTGCTCGGAAACAAGCGCACAGGTAGGCTTACGGAGACCCGACCCCGGTGTAGATACTGCACTGCCTGAGGCACTCGGAAGTTGAAGTGTTTTCTTTGTTCTTGCTCTGTGGCGGCGTTCCGTTCCCTCCACTTGCTTATCTTGTCTCGTGTTGTCCATCGCGGTGTTCCTTCGGAGTTGCCGGCTGCCACCGTTTTGAGACGAACTCTTGGACAACTGATGGACAAGTGCCCTAGCCTTACTGGAGTATCTGACTGTCTGGTCAGGGCTGTGCACTGTGCAGCACACTATCTGGTAGAGTGCCTGTCCGTACTCTGAATGTGCCATCCAAGCCGTGAGCCGTCTGACTGTCCGTGCTGCTCCCCAGACGAGATGGAGTCGGACGGCGGAGTCGGCGAGCGCACTCAGTACGTGTCCACGGCCAAAAACATGCTGCAGTCGGGCGCCGACGCCGTTGAACGACTCATGACCTCCTACAAGGTACGGAACATTTGTATTGGACACGCCCGAGCAGCGCCTCTGTTTTAGTGAGTTGCGCAAGACTTAGCGTTGTGTGTGTGCGAGCGTCACGGGCAGCCTCCCCCTGATGCGAAAAGACATGCGTAATCATGCGTAATGCGATTGAGATGACACTCGCACCCCGTCGGCTGACCGTGCTTTCGTTTTCGCCCCTTTTCCTCAGTCTGACCCGACCCCTATGCCGCCCGCAGGAGGTGGTCGAGCTGGCCGGCTACACGTCCCGCGTGGGCTCCATGCTGACCGTGTTTGACGAGGTGGGACGCGGCCAGTACCAGCGCGCGCTGGCCGCAGAGCCCACCGACCGGCAGCTGCGCGCCATACCCATGAAGGACGGCATGCCGCTCATACAGGGTCAGTGCTCTGTCAGAGCCCAGAGGGTGGTCAGATGTGGGACGGGGTCAGTGACTTTGGTGTGACTTTGAAACGGGGCAGTGCTCCGAGCGTGGTGTGGCTATCATGGACCAAATAATAGCCGTCATGATCCGTACCTCGGTACACGAAGAAAGCTCGTTACTAGTCCAGACCCCGACACTGACATCTGACCCTCATTCCACCACCGTCAGGCCGTGTCCGCGAGTCGGGCGAGGGCACCATCATCCTGCGTGACGTGCCGATCGTGACGCCCAACTGTGACGTGGTGGTGCCGTCACTGACGGTCACCATCACCCGCGACACGCACCTCCTTATCAGCGGTGAGTGCCCAGACCGATGGACGATCGCAGGCGATGATATACTTCAGATCAGGGCTATGCTCGTTTACATGCATCTGCTTTGCTAGTTTCTATTTTTATTTGTCATGATATTGGTGTTCTCATCGTTCATGATCAGGCTCGCTGAGCTACCAATTTTATGAATCGATCAGTGAGTCTGCAAATAGGTCGAGACTTGAGAATGTTATGTGATATTCACTCCAGTATCCAGCTTACCAATGCGCCTTTCGCCGCCGGTTGGCAGGTCCTAACGGCTGCGGCAAGAGCAGCCTGTTCCGGATACTAAGCGGACTGTGGCCCGTGTACCGCGGCGAGCTTCAGAAACCCACCACCGAGAACATGTTCTACATCCCACAGCGGTGAGTGGCGAGCCGAGTGGGCCGTCAGCTTTTGTCCCCGTCACCAGAGCTACCGAGCTCCTCCGGTGAACATCCTTCCTCTGTCACGTTCTCCGGTCTCCAGCTGTCCTCCTCCGTTGTTCAATTTAACTCAGTCGGGCGCAATAATACTGCTGAAGAAGCGATTCAACAGCGATGCTGTGACCCGATCAAATACCGCTGGGTAATATGCGGTAGCGTTGGCTCGGATATCCCACACTTCACTGAGCGGTGGACTTAAAGTCCGCGGACGCCTCTCATCGGGCGGGATTTCCACAATCGTATCGTCTCATGCTATCTCTCAAACACCGATCGCGCGTGTATCGGCTCATGAGCGTTCCCGGCGGCCCCGGCGGCCGATCTCTCGGCCCGCTGGGTGCGGACGTACCAAGCCGCGAGCCCCAGTCGCGCTCATGAGCCGTCTCGGCTGAGAGGGGCTCTGATTGGGGCGGTAGACTGTTACGGTATGGCGTGCCCGAGATAGCTACGAGGGCAGCTGATACAGCTGTTACCGTGCCGTTATTATTCGGATAGCAGCGTTACGTAATGACAGACAATTACCGCTCATGGTTATTAGGACTGAACACAAAATATGACAAGCAAGGCAATGCATATGGTGCAGAGCAGTGACGTGACACAGTGTAGGCTTTTCGCTTGCAATAGTATTTTACATGGTTCATGAAATGCCCCCATTCATTTCCTACGTCTCTTTTTGCGAAATTTCTGCGACCTTCCAGGCTTGGATGTCTGTTTTCATTCCAATGCTGAAGGTACTGTGTTATTCGGAAAAGCTAGGAACTGCATAATAGCATGGTGAGTGCGTTCGTCGTCTCTAATCCTTACTCCGATTCGTTCGTCGTCCCTAATGCGTACTCAAATTCGTTTGTCGTCTTTTACACGACAGTATCACCAGTATAACGCCTTTTGGGGCGACTAACGGAGAGAGCGAGAGGGTGAGCCTTGCACGTGCGAAATTTCGAGGGGTACCTCCAGCTGACTTGTGCACGGCACCCTACTAACCGGTCTCTAGCGATGTGCCAAATTTGAGCACAATCGGCCCAGCCGTTCTCGAGATCTGGAAGCGGCACCCTGCACGTGCGCACGTGCAAAATGGGTCTCAACTGACTTTTGCACGGCACCCTACTAACCGGTCCCTAACCATGTGCCAAATTTGAGCGCCATCGGTCCAGCCGTTCTCGAGATCTGGAATCGACCCCTGCACGTGCGCACGTGCAGCAGCACCCCAACTCTGGCACATGGATATGCATTGCCTAGTGGGTGCCTACCTACATGCCAACTTTCAGCGCAATCGGCCAAGTAGTTACCGAGATATTGCAACAATTACAAAAGTGACACCTCTTCGTTTTGCACGTGGCACGTGCATAAGGGGTCACCCACATCCATCGGGAATAGTCCAATACTTGGTAGACGGAATGAAGCTACCCTATAAAAATTACCGCATGTAAATCGGTCAAGTGGTTGCTGAGATATAAGCGTCGCAGAATCGTGACCACGGCCGGCCGCTCATACTCAGAAATTTCCGTTATTCTACGTAAGACTCCGCTCGCTTCGCTCGCTCCGTAATCATTGACCAACCCGCGCTCTCGACTGATCCCTGCTGACCCTTGCCTTCCCTCCCGGCAGGCCGTACATGTCGATCGGCTCTCTGCGGGACCAGGTCATCTACCCGGACAGTGTGGAGGTGATGCGACACCGGGGCTTCTCGGACTCGGACCTGGCCGAGATTCTATCGGTGGTGCACCTCGGCTACCTGGTGGAGCGCGAGGGCGGCTGGGACGCGCTCGGCGACTGGAAGGACATCCTCTCGGGCGGCGAGAAGCAGCGCATGGGCATGGCGCGCCTGTTCTACCACCGGCCGCAGTACGCGCTGCTGGACGAGTCGACCAGCGCCGTCAGCATGGACGTCGAGGGCAAGATGTTCCAGGCGGCCAAGGACGCCGGCATCACGCTGCTGACCATCACGCACCGGCCGTCACTGTGGCAGTACCACACGCACCTGCTGCAGTTTGACGGCGAGGGCGGCTGGAAGTTCGAGGAGCTGAACACGGAGACGCGGCTGTCGCTGCAGGACGAGAAACAGTCGCTGGAGAAGCAGCTGAACGGCGTGCCCAAGATGCAGGAGCGGCTCCAGGTGAGGGCGGGGAAGGGAGCGGGGTCAGCCGCGGACGGGCGGGGAGGCCAGAGACCGCGGGATATTTTATTACCATGTTCGGTGTCGAGGTGGGGGCTACTTTGTGGTGCTTGAAAGGGGCGGAAAGGTTAGCTGATTATGCGTGAGGGAAGCGTGGCTGATGCTTGGGCTGTTTCATCGCTGTGTTGATATGTGAGGAATATAACATTTTCTTGCATTAGTGTTTTCTGTTGGATAAGAGCTGAGTAAATAAGGGTCATAAGCGCTGTGCCGTATGTATACCGTGGTTTGACGGATGGCCTGCCGTTCCCCAGGAGCTGTGCACGCTGCTGGGCGAGGACTCGCCGGTGCTCGGCGCCGCCTCCACCGACTTTCTGTCGTCGGAGGGATCGGAGAGCCGGCTCAGGAAGGACTCGGACCGGTCCGGCTCGGAGTGATGGGACCGCCGACCGCCGCCGCTCCGGACACGCTCCGACTGCAGTGGCCAGTCCTCAGCTCTGCCCGCTCCGCCGCCCAGACCGGGCGGCCTCGCTCACACGCCGCCGTGCTCACAGTCTGGGGCGCCGGCGGACGATCCTATACTGCTGATACTCACTGGGTGAGACGCGACTGCCTGTTCACAGGGCGGACCCGGCTCGGGTCAGGATAGTGGATACCCGGGACTGACAGTACACGTCGAGTGAAGACAGACAGTGCTCGGGGGAATATTTGTACAGATGACACATTGGTGCAATTGGAGCGGATGGGTCATCATTGTGACTCCGTCCGTGCCATTCAGCTGCTGCTGTATGTGGTTAACATCAGACAAGTGGACGGTGATTTTATCAGAGGGATTTTGATCAAAGTGCGACGACCGTCTATGGAATTGGGGACCAAGAAGTCTCTGTGTAGACTGAAGTAGTCCGGGAATCGATGTGGGTCCCGTCATTTATGATTTTGATCTAGTCTGATGGACACGGGCTATTAGGTGCCGACTGCCGAGTGTCAATGCCACGTGAGTGTGCCGATTTTATTATTCGCTCTCTAAGACCTTGTGCTGTGGACGGCGATGTTCGTAACCGTTATACAGCGTGTGGCTAGTTTAGGCGGCTTTATTACGGAACGAATGGCATTACATATTATCTTTCATTATGTATTGGTATCAGAGGCTATATATTTATCTTGAGAGTCGTCATGGGTCTTTCGTGTGTTGTATGATAGTTGTAGTCGTCCCGCTACGGCCAAGACAGGAGGAACTTAGCTAGAGGCCTCGGCCAGTAGAAATGAACGTTTGATTGTTTTGCATGACTAAACTACAAGCCAATTGTAATATACGGACGGGAATCTTTTTTGCGTGTGTAAATTCTGCCGTGCTCGACAGTGGTGTTACATTTGCGTCACAGTGCTTTTAAGATTAGGAACTTTGTAAGCTCTGTGCAGCGCTGTGCTAGTCAGGTGTCGATATTCGAAACCTTTTCATAGTCTTGAATACTGCTTCGTCCGCGACACCACGAAACGACACGCGCTGTACCCCTGATGACATGAATGTATTGTAGTTTCATATACACGCACATTCACACCAGGAGGCCACTAAAACGTGTCGATACGGCAGTGAAAGCTAGCGTCAGCTGCGGCGACCTATGACCGTCCGTGAGGCGTGCGTGCAGACCCGTGCGATGGCACCGCTACCTTGTGAGTGCCCCTTGACCACCTAAAGCCGCCCTGATTGGTCCCGCGAGTTACCTCGTACCCGAGCCGCCCGACCCCCGTGCCGCGGCCGCGCGGACCGTGCACACACGTGAACACTACGGAGGGAATGTGATAATTGCTGTTGCGCTGCGCCGTGCTGCCCTGTGCGCGCCGTGCTGATTGTCAGAGTCCCGCTGCCGCCCGCGGTCGGCCGACAGCGCTTTCTCCCCGTCCTACCACTCCGCGGCGCCGCCCCTCGCCCGTCGAACACAGCGGACCGCTTCTGAGCACTGAGAAGTCGGCCGGTGACCGAGACCGTGCACAGACACGCAAAGGCACATAGCGGCGGCGCGGAACCCAAGTCCCAGTCATGATAACATTTCCAGCGTATACACTAGCCCGCTAAACAGAGAATAAACAGTGAATACACAATACATACAGGTGCGTAAAAGTGGCCGAATCCCAAACATGGGACGCAAGTAAAGCCGCTAAGAAGAGAGCCCTGCGCTCGAATCTCAATGAAGTTGCCCTCGCACAGCCCGAGTATGCCGCTCTTTCGGAGAGTGTCCACACCGCTAACAGGTGATGTGATCTCAGGTCCCATGCTCCACAGCAGCTGAGTCCGAATTGAGTTTGACATCGACCACACTAGGGAAATCAAGGCACAACATGGATACGCCTGAGGAGCCTCCTAGTCATGCAGCGGTATCCCGGTTCAAGCTGCCTCCGTATTATGGCAGTGTAACGCCCGGCATCAGGTCACCGCCAGTAACGCGCGGTAATCTCTCCAGCATTATGACAGTGAGCTACCTCAGAGGACGTCTCGAGTCGCAGCATCAGAATTATGACACGTTGCTATCGGCGAATATATCCCAGATGAACCAGCACTAAGGCAGAACCGAATGGGGGCATCCACCGAAGTCCCGGAGTAATTCCCAAACACTGTCGACGACTAAGCTCAGAACCGGAGCGACTTGGAGCGAACCAGCGAGGTGAGCGACCCGGCGGCGAACAGGGAGCGGGTGCGGCGCGGGTCGGCGGCCAGCTGCTGGTCGGCCTCTGCCAGCCGGAGAGCGTACACGTCCGGGTACACCTCACGGAACTGCGGGAGGGAGAGGTATTATAATTACTCGTCAGAGCAGGCCCGGGGAACACCTCACGGAACTGCGGGAGGGAGAGGTATTAGGTATTATAATTACTCGTCAGAGCAGGCCCGGGGAACACCTCACGGAACTGCGGGAGGGAGAGGTATTATAATTACTGTCAAAGCAGGCCCGGGGTACACCTCACGGAACTGCGGGAGGGAGAGGTGAACTGTCAGACCAGGGGTATTCTGAACGTGCGAGGGGTGGGGGTCCAGTGTTAGACTAGCTGGGGCACATCTCACGGAAATGTAAGGGAGACGGGAGAACACTAATCAGGGGTATACTACACTGAACTGAGGTTGGAACCGGGTTATATCTCCACTGGCGTTACTGCAGAGAGGGATACAAAGCACTGCCACGCCGTCTGTCGATTGACTTACCATGAAACGGACAGACCGGCGACACCGACCGACGGTTCAATTTGATCGTGACTAACGATAACCACTAATCGTGCTGTGATCCAACGGAAAATGCTCGACATTCCAACACGCTGGACATAAACATGGAACCAGTTTTACCAACCGTCACCCAATCTACCACAAAAACCAGACGGCCGCGGAACCCACCAACGGATGCCGACTGCCGGCTGACCTTGTGGTGATGGCCGTTTGGTCGTAACTAGATCAATCATACAAGCCCGTGACGGTGACGTCACGTGACTCATGCACCACTTTTGTAACAATGCCGACATGTTTCTTTTTCTAATCGCCCGCCATCCGCCCGCCCAGCTCACCTGGCGAAGCCGCTTGATCTTGTCCTTCTTAGACATGCGCGTGTCGCCAATGATGGTATCGAGCAGAGATAGGAGCGATCCGGACGTGCCGCGTCGCTCCTGGTCGTACTGCTCGGCCGTGACGCGCTGGCAAAACGTGATCTGGTCTGTGTCCTCCTCGTACTGCACCTGAAAATACAAGAGAGTTTGAGAGACGGTCCGCAACTGAGGCCATGCCCAAGGACTTATGATACCTAAGAATAATTTGTTTTTGTAGGAGTGGGTCAGTAGAGAGTCGTGTCGATCACTCGCTCTTCTGTATCGCACACGACCACTGCACGCTAGCTCACATGCACGCCCGAGCCTCCCCACCTTACCGCTCACCCCACCGCTCACCGTCTCTCTCGGCCGCTGCCGGAGCCGCTCGGCCACCGCGTCTCGCACGTGTCCGGCCGGCGCCAGAATCTCGGCCTGGTGTTCGAGCAGGTAGCTGACCAGGCGGCGCTCCAGCTCCGGGTCGGCCTGCTCGGCGCTGGCCGCACGCAGGATCCGGTCCGCGAACGTGCTCACCATCTGCCGGCGGCGGCGAGGCGTCAGACAATGGAGACTGGAATCTGGATACATTTGCGCTAGATATAGTGACAGACGGAGGATGTGTCGCGTGTCATCGCGTCCACGAGAAGGAAGCTTTTCCGATAACAGCAGAGACAAGCATCAAAGAAGATAAAGTTGTGACTTGTGGCGCCTCGTAAAACAGCCGCGCAAGGGCAAGGCAAGGAGCAACTATTACGATGACAAAATCTGGTGGAAGGTACCAAACACATATCCATTCTCCCGTCACTCAGCGAACTGAGCCCCTAACCCGACTCCCCGAGTCCCGTGGTCCGTACCAGTTCGCGGCCGGAGACGAGGTGGGACAGCTGCAGCCGCTGATTGGCCGCCGCCTTGTACATGAAGCGCAGCAGCAGCTGCAGCTGCCGACGGCAGCCGGGCGGCAGCAGCGTCAGCAGCAGCTGCAGCGACTCGCGAGCCATCTTGTGGCCCTCGGCCGTCACCAGGTCTGTCGTACGGCGGACAGGGGAGGGTGTCAGTGGAGCGACACATGGCGGTACTGCCACTTGAATGCCAGACTTGGCATATCTGAATAAATATGCCGTTCACAAAAACGGACTCTCAATGGAGCAATATTCTGCTACACATTACTACCGAAAGACAAATTCGTCCAAATCCAAAGCAACAGATGAGATAAAAAATAAGCGAAGCGAGTAAGACGTCAGCAGAGGCCCGTCGGACCAGCAAGCAGCGGCATTAGGGCGCAGGCGGTCAGCTCATGCCCAGACCATGCCAAGCCATGCTGGGAGGGGCCGGCGGCAGGCAGGCGGGCTGTGCGCAGTATGGTGCCGAGACGGGGAGCGCGTGCCACCAGTTACCCTGAGTGCCCGGAGAGGAGGGCGCCGCGCCGGGCGCGAGCAGCGGAACCCGCTTACATGGCGTCGCCCGGAATCGGCCCTGGTAGGGGGCTCGCGCCGGTTTGGGCGGCGGCGGACCGGCCGGGGGCGGCGCCGGCTCAGCCATCAGCCGGCTGAGGTCCCGCAGGTTCTCATAGTCCCGACCGACCACTGGTAAACACACGGGGGAAGCGGTATAAATTGACAGCACTGCTTCGAACCTTGATGAGTTTTGATACTTGACTGAGAAAGTAGTGCCATCTATTACACACACAAAACATATTTTGCAAATGTGCAATGAAATGGCGTTTGTAAGAATGAAGGATAGATGAATATTCACAAGAACTACTAATTGACACAAAAATATATACACAACACTAACTGAACGGTGTCAGTCCATGAAAATGAGTCGGCTCATTGGCCATTCGACACTCACCCGAGTGTCGCTGTCTGGCGGCCTGCTGCAGCGGAGACAGCGGCTGACTGACGCGGCTCGGGTCGGCCACGCTGCGGCGCTGCCACACGCGCAGCGCCGCCGGGCCGCGCCACACGGGCGCCGCGCGCGCCGGCACCGGCGGCGGAGGCGGGCACACCTGCTCCACCTGCTCCACGGCCAGGCCGAGCACGCGGGCCGCCTTCAGCGCGCTGGCCGCCGGCGCCGCCGGCTGCGCGCCCTCGCCGTCGGCCCGGCTCAGACCCGAGGAGAACTCGGCGTAGTCGGCGGCCGAGGACGGCGGCGGCGGCGGCGGGGGCGGCTGCTCGGCCGCCTGCTCCCGCCGCCGACGCTGCTCCTGCTTGTCGCGCCTTTTCTCCTTGAGCCGTCGCAGGGAGCGCGACAGCGAGTCGTCGCGCAGCTGGTGTCGGCGGATGGCGGCCGGCGCGACACACGGCGCCCGGCCGCGGCTCGACAGGCTCTCCGAGGAGCCGGGCGCCGCCTCCGAGAGCCGCGAGCCCGGCCGGCTGGCCGGAAGGTGGAGCGCCTCCACAGAGCGCTGCGGGATCAGCCGCGTCACCGGACCGGTGGCGCCGAACACCGTCTCCAGGCAGGTGTCGGCCGGCCGCTCCGAGGCCAGGCTGGAGCCGACCGCCGAGTCCGAGCCGCGACTGCTGTCGGCGGCCAGCGGAGACGCCTGGCTCAGCCCGCTCACCGAGAGCCGCGCGCTGCTCAGCGACGCCGCCGAGCCCACCGAGTGGATACTGGCTACCGAGCGACGCGGCCGGCCCGTGCTCAGCCGGCCGGCCGACTGCACGCTGGCGTCAGAGGGCGCCGGCTCCAGCCGGGACGAGGTCAAATAGTACTCGCCCGAGGTCAGGCTGAGCTGCGCCGGGCTGCTGTCCACTGAGCTGGCCTGCAGACTATGAGGGGACGCCGCCGACAGGCTGTACGGCCGCGCCGGCGGCTGCAGGCTGGCCGTGGGCACGTAGCGGGCAGGCTGCAGGCTCGATGTCGAGGGAAAGAAGCCGGCCACGGGTAGACTAACCGTAGACAGGGTGGGCACTGTCGGCAGCCGGGCCGGGGGCCGACCCGGCGCTGCCTCCACCGGCGGCCGGAACACGGCCTCACAGAAGCGCTCCTGGTCGCGCTCGGCCGGCGGACAGTTCTCCTTTCCGTCTGCGATGGCGCGCAGGAAGCTGGCGGCGCGCGGTCGCCGGCGCGGCTCCTCGTCAGGTGTCGCGAACACGTCGTCCTCAGTGGTGTCGGCCGCGTCCACTGCTGCCGCCGGTACTGCCGCCCCGGCACCCACTCCGAGCCGCATCAGCCGTCCGCGCAGACGCGCCACGCTCTGCCCGGCCGGAGTCACCGGCGCCGGCGAGGCGAACAGGGAGTCCTCCTTGAAGTCGCGGTATCGGCCGTCGGCTGCCGCGCTGCCCAGCAGCGGCGTGTCGGCCGGCGGCCGCGGCGTCACCGGCGCAGGTGACATCATGAGCAGCAGGTTCTCCACGGAGCCGGCCGGCGCCGTCGACTGCCGGCGCCGCTGCGCCTGTTGCTGCTCCTGCTCCTGCTGGTCGCGCAGCTGCCGGTCCCGCTGCTCAGCCCGCAGCAGGGCGCCCACCAGCGACTCGTACAGCTCGTGAGGCACCAGCGGGAACGGCAGCGCCGAGAAGTACTCGCGGATGACGCGGAACACGTCCAGCTGAAAGTCGACGTAATCCTGCGGCAGCTCCGGCATCTGACGCGCCTCGGGCCCTGTGGTACAGAGGAAACAGAACATGAGGGCCTGACAGTTGACACGTGTCATAAAACACACATTGTTCAGTAGCACATACATCTCGCACATATATTGTGATTACAGAATACCGGAAGATAGCGATGCGTACCGAAATCAAATAAGGCCTTGTGTGAAACTACCATGATTGCTTAACCCTCGCCCTGGCAGGGCCTTTTTCATAACACGGCCTGGCAGGGGGGGGGGGGGGGTCGATGCGACCCCCCCCCCTCGCGATTGGCTCCTATGGCACCTAGAAACACCAAATTTGGTAGGTAGGTGGGCCCCATGGAGTTCTCGCCCCTGTGCAAATTTGGTTGTTCTAGGTCAATATTTAGGGGGGTTTTGGGGGGTATAAATGTAAAAAATTCGCTAAAAACAGGTCAAAAGTTTTTCGCTTATAACTCTTGATCTAATTAAGATAGGGCAAAAAGAAAAGCACCAGTGAACTCAGCACATCAAGGCGCGTCGAATGATATACTTTTTAGCTTGCTTAAGTGTACTTAAAGTTTTTCTTAATTTTTAAGTAAACTTTAATTAATTACTTAAGTTTAAGTTAACCAAATTGCATCATATCGCATATCATTCGATTCGGCTGATCACCAGGAACACAATGATACCATTTTTTAAGCTCTAGCGTCATTATGTGCCAAGTTATTGGAAAAAATGTGATTTGACCTCAGTTGACCTCATTTGACCTGACCCATGGATAAGTACACCAAACAAAGAAGCACGAAGTGACCTGCTGTTAAGTACTGTGGTTTCAAAGCACAAAAGTGATAGAACGAAGCGGATATCTCCAGTATTTTCCGAATTTAGTATTTTCCCATAGGCTTAACATTACGACGCAATGACCTCTAACTGACCTCAGGTCAGTGACCTAAAAAAACCCGAACTATATGTTATACAACTCGGTGAACTTAGCACATCCTGAAAGTTTGAAGGAAATCAGTCGAAAACTGTGAGTTGTACAGGTGCAAAAAGAAAGTTGAAATTTGACCATGACCTTGTACCGGTTTTTCTGACCTGGTGACCTGACCCAAGGTCACCCGGACCTGAAATTTTCAGGTCATATGTAAAAAGGTTGCCCCATAGGCTGTGCCAAATTTGGCGGCGCTGCGCGCCGCCGTTTTTACGCTATCTTCGAAAAACCTTAGGGGGGGGGGGTCGCATCGACCCCCCCCTGCCAGGGCGAGGGTTAAGTTCGACACCAGTCGCCACACTGCCACTAAGCACCATCCCCTTGGAACGGACGACGCACATGACCCCGTCAGGGCCCGGCGCCCACGGGTGATGACGTCCTTTCTGACCACCCAAGGTACTTACAGTTGGCCAGCGTTTTCATGGCCATGATGAGCCAGCGCGGCAGGCTGGGCGGTGCGTCCGGCAGCGGCTGCACCAGGCCACTCTGGGTCACGCGCTCCGTGTTGTGGCGGATCCACGCGGGCACCACGCAGCCGGCCGGCACGATGTCCACTACTGTCGCGTCCAGCACTGTCTCCAGCCTGCGGCAGACACACAGCGCGCGTACACACGCACACACTCAGAGCGGGGCCGGCTGTCTGCCCGTCACGGAAACCAAGGCGATGGCACAGAGCAGCGGGCCCCACCGGCGACAGACCAAGCCCCAACCATGCCAGCAGGGCTGCGAGCAGCGCCGTCGCCCCTACTCTCTACTCGCAGGACAGGAGGAAACAGACACAAGTGAGCCGACAGGTCCGGAAGCTGATGCGGAGTCAGAGCGGCCCCGCGGTGTGATGTAACCCCGGCTGTGTAACCCACCCTCGCGCCGCCGTGGACCGGGTACTCACCGTGACAGCAGTGTGGTACTCCACACAGAGTCGACCTCAGCGGCTGTCGGCGCGCGCATCACTGGTCGGCACTGAGGGAGCGGCAGCGGCGGCGGCGGCGGCGGCGGCTGGTGCTGCTGCGGCGGCTCCTCGGTACAGGGCGGCGGGCTGGCCCCGCTCGGCCGCCGCCGCAGCTGAGGACTGCAGCCGCCCGCCTCGGCAGACTCCGGCTTGGGTTGCGGCGCGTTACCGTTCATCAAAGCCAGAGCCGACCGACCGGGAGTGCCGTGCGTGCTTAACCTGTCAGCAAGACCGGCGAAGTGTTGAGGGTCAACGAAAGTCGAAACTGATGACACTTAAGGCTGAAACAGACTCTTTCCGCGTTCAGGAAATCGCATGCGAGAGCCTATTCAAATACATTAGTTTCCTCTCGCATCGATCGCACGCATCTCTCGCACTACCCGCATCAGGAAATCGTATCTCCCTGACAGTCTTCCCGCGTCGTCCTGACGCCTCGCTCGCATCGCCCGCATCACCCGCAAGCATCGCCCGCACCTCTCGCTCGCATCGCCCGCAGCGACATCTTTTCGGGATGCGAGAGAGTTGAAGTTCAGTCAACTTTTCCGTGCGGGCGATGCGATTTTGCAGAGGGCAGCACGTCCGCCATCTTGGAATGTAAACAAACTTGACCTTGGCAATTTATATTGGTGGATGCGATTGATGCTAGTGCGTATTTTCCATGTCGTAGGGTCTAATTAGCACTTAATTGGGCATAGGTTAATGCTATTTTCTATAGACATTCGTAATTCTATAAATTTAGCCGTTATTCGTGCGTCAACATCTGCAAAATGATTGAAAGAAGATCTGCCTGACGGAACCAGCTACCTACCTCCTCAACCTAGCCAAAAGTAGGTAGGTAAGTACCAAAGTAACCCTAGCTATTGATTACCTTCGTGATTAATAAAGATAATAATTACTTGATCTTTTTGATTGCAGGATGAAGTTTCCGTTGTTTTTAGCTACACTAAACTTCAGGAAAATCGCTAGTGCTAACCGTTGCTGGCCTACTTGAAATAGATAAAAAACACCTTCTAGAAAGGGTTTTGCATAGCCTTTGCTGCCTTTTCCGATAAATTCCGCCAAAATGATAATATAATTGGCCTCAAATTAACCCTATTAGTGGCAGGGGGGCTTTTTTCATCCACCCCTCAGGTTTTTCGGGAAAATCTCCGAAACCGCTGAAGCTACGATGCTGAAATTTTCTGACTTTTCCTAAAACTAAATTGGGCACATTCCCTGAAAATTTCAAGTTCATAACTTTACCAGGGGCGGCTCAAGAGCAATGGGAATTGGGGGGTCCTAATCGTTGACCTATGATCTGTTTCCGCCTATGATTTTTGAAAATGCATATTTTTAGGATCCATGTGAATTCCTGGTTCATTCTCTATCGATCAGCAAAAGTTGCGTTAAGATTGGTTCAGAAACCTGGCCGTGATAAACAGTCTAAAATGTATCTGCAATTTGCCCGTTTTTACCCCCCCCCTCTCTACCCCCTATTGACATTTTTTTTGAATTTTTATTTTTTAAAAATGTAGATCACGTTGAGCAAAATCGAATGCCGTTTGAATTTTGCAAATCGGCCCGTTAGATCTCGAGATATCAGGGGGGGGGGTCGTAAACAGCCCCCCTGCCACTAATAGGGGTAGCCAGGAGCCTGCCACTAATAGGGTTAAGCCATGATTGCACATCAAAGAGCTCTCTTAGTCTCTTGAATCAAAGGCAGGAAACTCATTTCATGTAGGAAGATACGGAGACAATTGACATGAAAACTGGGCTTCTGTCAAAAGAATGGGACGGTTGCTGAATCTAGGTACCTATATTCTATGTCCATCTTCCACCTGCTCCTTCTGGCTTCTTCCCATCCCCTTCTCCCCAAGGTCAGCACCATTTCTTTGTTTTTCTGTCCCCTCTTTCCTCTTTTTGTTTTTTTTTTCTCTGAAAGCCATAACAATATTTTGTTTCTTATTCTCATAAGGATAAGTTTATGAGTTATTAATACGATTTTTCAGAACGAACATTGTTTCTATAACCGACAAACCTTTCAGATCATGCTGATTGCTGCCTATACTCAAGTCTCAAACGCACTTTACCGTGAATGCCATTTCATTGGCGAGTGACCAAACTTTGCTTGATTGGGCAATCGTCTATACTGTCTAGCTAGGTACTTATTCGTGATCTTATCAACCTGTGGGGTTCCATTGTTCCAGCACGTTCCAGCACTCGGATCAGCCCACAACCGCTGTCCACAATAGGCCGATTGTCACCACACCGCCAGTTCCGGACGAGTCGGTGCACGGTGGTGACTGCCCAGTGCCCACGACCCACGTTACTCAGGGACTAACGAGTAGGGAAGCATCCTGGAATCGGAGGGAGGGGCAGTATTCCGCTGGCGATGCTTCTGCGACTGACCCCACGGGGAACGACCAGACTACCTTTACAACCGTCAACGCAGACAACGCGAGCATCACTACTAGACGCACCTCCTTCATCCAAGCAAACATCACTGCATCCTAGCAGCAGCCGTTAACCCGCGCCGAGCCGGTGCTCGGCGCCAACCGCGCCGTGCCCGGGGATCTGTGGACACCCACCCCTTCTAGCTCGGCTCTTGGGTAGCATAGGGAAATGTGGTTAGTGGCTTTCAAAGGAGCGTCAAAAACCAAGACGATAATATATCGGTCATTTTTTTAAAGTCAAGTCGAAGTTCAGGTCACCAGAGGTTATCAAAGGTAAAATGTTGCATATTTCGACATTTTCGAAACACCGGTGCAAAACTTGGGAACCAAGAGAACTTCAGCGCAACGGAAAAACGCATTCGATCATAGCCATTTTGACATTGTTTTGTGATAAGCTCTCAAATTTGACGCAGGATGAAGGATTTAGATCATAGAGGACAAATCTTGACTTAGCCGTTTTAAGGAAAAACCCTTTTCTGTAACTTCTCCTGACTCGATAAAATTTGTAATGACAGCATCGCACTCCTCTCGTCGAGACGCGTCGAATCAACTGTAATTTGACCTCAGGTAAAGGTCATAACCTAACCGGAAGAGGTCATCATCTGACTAATACCTGACAGCTCATGACCTTGAACTGAGGCCAACTTTTCAGAATGACACTTCTCGTCGAGAGGAATCGAGTTAAAAATGTTTAAAGCTATTTTAGGAGTTCTGGCCTCTGTAGGCTAAGCTAATGATCGGAAGTTGACCTTGGTCATCACCGCATACCGGAGCAAGCGCTGAAAGGGCTATCAAATAGGCAGTGCGCTTTTCCATCGTGCTGTAGCTCTATTGGTTTCCGAGTGATGCGTTGTTTTCTAATGTTGAAATAGGCAACATTTTATCTTTGATGACCTCTCGTAACCCCGGTTGATCTATTTAACCTAAAAAATGGCTGCAATGACTTCGTCATGATTTTTGACGTTATTTGGAATGCCACTTACCGCTTCGTGGGCCAGGAATCAAGTAAGACGGGTCATGTTCGGTCCCCCAGGGCCCGGCGCTATTGGTGCCGAGCAAGGGCCCGGCGCAAGATGTCAGATCTTGTTAGAACAATGCGGTTGAATTTGGACTACAATAAACCGACACATAGTACGATATACGTTTGTAGTTTGCCGCCAAAAGGTGAGGCATTGCATGAAAACAAATTTTCACACAAATTTAGATACCTACTTGTACTTCTTCTACATCGATACCTTGAGTTCCCTCTCGCACGGACAGTGCGATCGATGCGAGAAGTCGATGCGAGAACTGCGGGTGATGCGGACGAGCGAGTCGTGCGAGAAGTGCTTGCGAGACATACGATTTTCAGATCCGAGTCGTGCGAGCGATGCGAGCGAGCGATTGATGCGGAAAGAGTCTGTTTCAGCCTTTAACCATAACAATAACCGAATTCATCCTCTTTGCTATTCAGATCACAAAAAAATATCACGATTTTCAGTTTTCACGCTTGTAAGTACAAATTCTAGGCTTGAAAAGATGTTTCTGCTTGTCTGACGTGCTCTCGCTCCATCCATTCTCTTCATCACTGACCTGTAGAGCCGGCTATCGTCCTTGAACTCTGGCGGCGCGGTGCCGCGCCGGCCGCGCACCTCCTGGATGATGCCGGCCTGCACGAACTTTGCCAGCAGTCGAACCGTCTGCTCGCGGCTAACGTTGGCCGAGAAGAGCGCGTGTCCGGCCAGGTAGCGGTGCAGCCAGCTGACGGCCGCCGCGCCCGTGAAACAGCGCTCGTGGTAGCGCAGGTTACGCCAGTGCCGCTGCAGCACCATGCCCTCGCGGAACCCGCGCACGGCCTCCCGCCACTGGGATCAAACAGAGGAGGCAGCAGCCGTCAGTGTAAGCACATGGCAAAACGCACACAATTTTATGCACTACATACTGGTGTTACCATATATGACTAGCAGCATTCAAAACACAAAAATGCTGGATATGATCCAACATACATGAGTATAGAAGCTAGCAAGTAGCAATAACTTACATTTCAAACATTCACTAGGTTAGGTATATTTTGTTTTATAAATAGGAGAGGCAGACAACGATTTGAATTTCTCATTTGTGCCTTCCATGTTTGGATGGTACATTAATGTACCATCAAAAGCCTAAGTGGCATGCAGTTTAAAGGAACTTACCAGCTGAGTTGCTTTGTATGGACCATCACCTTCAGTTGATCCCAAGTTGTTGGACTCCATGCTCAACTGGTTGATCAAATCTGAAAGAAATCTGGCCATTTGAGGAAAAATCACCCATACAGGAATGAAAAGTGTTGTTTGCAATGAAATCATCCTTTAATATCATTTGCAATTCATTTGGCATGGTCAAATTCATTAAGTATGTCATACCCCATGCATTGCCATTTCAGCAGGCGGAACTATGGTCAAGCGTACCCATTTTCGGGAACGCATTTTCGTTCCCATGTTTGGGAACGATAAACCCAAATATGGGAACGCCATGTAGGCATTATTTAAAACAAGAAAAAGAACCGTTAAATGACGTCCAAAAAATATAATACGATCGTGAACCGCCTGATATTTGTCTCAATATTGTTGGGAAAGAGTTTGATATTGTAAGGCCCATCGTAGTTTCAAATCGTTCCCCTATTTCTAAAGCAGTCCATCATCCGGGCCGCGAGCCCAAATTTGGGAACGCTCTCGTACACTGGCGCTGCAAGCGTTCCTTATTATGGGAACGGCGTACCCAAAATTGGGAACGATTTCACCGAAGCCTTTCAGGGGCTCTTTTCATTAACAAGCATCACGTCCAACGCCGCAAATTATTGTTAACGCAACAATCATCAGATGACCTTTCCGGCAAGACCGTCGCATGTTTCGCCCGGTCTTCTGCGCTTTTATTCCCGTCGATCTCGCAGCGGGCACGCCCCCCTCTGCAGGATTACGTAATTCACAACGCTCAGCGATGTTCAACAAGGTCTTCCATACCTATATCCACCGTCCGTGCCGAGGGTGGAGACATGTCAAGCACCTGTCTATTTATCACCGATAGTTGACGAGTACAAGGAAGTATCCAAAAATGGGAACGCTGAATATGTTACACCCTCAAAACACCTAGTCCCAATGAAAATCTAGTTTTTTCCTTTCTTAATGAGTGTAAGTGGCAAAAGGCCTGGTAGGATGGGCACGAGGAATGATCGAAATCAGCATAGAAATTATAAATAAGCCACACAGAGCGACCTATATAAGAGAAATTCCCCCAAAACGATCATGCTTAGAAACACGGAAGACAAAAACCACGCTCATGACGCTCCTTATAAAACAACGCTAAACAGCTAGCATCCAAATAAAATATGTCTTTCCGGGCTGATAAAATACAGCTGAATAATTTTCGACCACTTAAACTGAGTTTACAACAGTAGTTCGGTAAAATCACGCACGTTCTACGCGGTCGTCCGCCTCGACACCAAATGTCAACAATATTACCTCGGGACTGTCCGCGTGTTCGCTTGCATATGTCAGCATCTGGTGTCGCTAGTATGAAACTTCATAACCAGGCGAAAATTATTATACTTGACCTCAAAATGTAAAAAACGCTTCATTTTCCTTAAAATTGCATGTTAAATGTAGTGTAACCCATGTTTTCACCATTCCGTCATTTCAAAAAATCATTAAAAATATCATTCGACGGTCAATTTCCTTGTTCAACGGTCAGATTAAAGATAATTTTATAGAGACTTCGTAGATACTTAAATTAGCGTGCACTTTTTTGAGACGTGATGCACTAATGAGTTTTAGTGGGCGAACGGCCGAAAAATTACCTTCCGTTCTCATAAATGGGAACGCCCGTTCCCATATTTGGGAACTCCGTTCCCAAAAATGGGAACGTTCCTATATTTGGGTACTCATGACCATAGTTCCACCTACTGATTTTCCAGAATTGAATTGACAGTGTGTGTTCTTCAGTGCAAAGGAAAAAACATGTAATTTACCTAGGCCAAAAAATTACATACGTGGACCGTAGTGCATCCTTTGCATGGCATTGTTGCATTGCATTCATGATTCAATGGGGTGATAACTGATAGCCCAGAAAATTTCAAATTCAAATTCAATCTTTTACTTTTCAAGCCATGCAGGTAATTGTGATTGTGGGTAGGTAGTAGTCAGAAAATGCTATTTAAGCAGACACAATGCAATTTCCAACAAAAAAGAATTTGATATTAGCTATAATATTAATGCTATTGATAAAGTCCTATTTACGACTTCCTACCGTAGCTTGTAACAATACATCAATCATAATTAATCGCAAAGAAGCATAGGTAAAAGACAAGGAGACATATGAGCGTGTCCGGACAAAATTTCGTCTGACATTTTTTCGTCGGACAGTTTTTCGTCCGCAGATTTTCGTCCGACTTTTTTTCGTCTCGCATTTTTTCGTCTGTACATTTTTTTCGTCTGTGCATTTTTTCGTCTGTACATTTTTTCGTCCGGACATTTTTCGTTCGTATATTTTTTCGTCTGTACATATTTTCGTCCGGACATTTTTTCGTTCAATAAATTTTACGTCTGTTCACCCAAGGTTGAGTGAAAACATACGACAATGCTATTCAACTGTGGAGGCAAATGACGTCATAATAATACTCGGGGCGAAGCAGTGCAGTGCCGAAGGCAATGCCTTAGGAGAGATTACAGGCAATGGTAAGTCAAATATTTTTAGGTTAAGTGGTTATGCATCAGGCTTCAGGCCGTCGGACAGTTTTTCGTCCGCAGATTTTCGTCCGACTTTTTTTCGTCTCGCATTTTTTCGTCTGTACATTTTTCGTCTGTGCATTTTTTCGTCTGTACATTTTTTCGTCTGTACCTACATTTTTTCGTCCGGACATTTTTTCGTTCGTATATTTTTTCGTCTGTACATATTTTCGTCCGGACATTTTTTCGTTCAATAAATTTTACGTCTGTTCACCCAAGGTTGAGTGAAAACATACGACAATGCTATTCAACTGTGGAGGCAAATGACGTCATAATAATACTCGGGGCGAAGCAGTGCAGTGCCGAAGGCAATGCCTTAGGAGAGATTACAGGCAATGGTAAGTCAAATATTTTTAGGTTAAGTGGTTGTGTATCTGGCTTCAGGCCGAAGGCCTGAAGCCTGATGCATAACCACTTAACCTAAAAATATTTGACTTACCATTGCTTGCAATCTATTCATGCAAGTAACTTTTTCCTTATCCCTCGGTAGGCAAACATCAGTAGGTAAGGTTAGGTAAGGTTAGGTTAGGTTAGGTTAGGTTAGGTTAGGTTAGGTTAGGTTACGTTAAAATTGTAGACGAAAAAATGTCCGGACGAAAAAACGCACAGACGAAAAAATATACGAACGAAAAAATGTCCGGACGAAAAAATGTACGGACGAAAAAATGTACAGACGAAAAAATGCACAGACGAAAAAATGTACAGACGAAAAAATGCGAGACGAAAAAAAGTCGGACGAAAATCTGCGGACGAAAAATTGTCCGACGAAAATCTGCTGGACGAAAAACTGTCATGGAATCCATGAGTGAAAAACCATTTTGCATTTCACATATGCAGTTCACACAAAAATATATTTGGACACATCGAAGTCATTATCTTTCTTTAATTTAAAGGAGTTTTAACACAGGTCACAGGGTAGGTATGCGCCATAATTGTACCAATAAATTCAAATTGGTTGGATGCCATAACAAGAGTAAAACTACACGACTGTAAACCAACACCTGTAAAAACCTACCTTATTTCATTTCGGAGAAATTGAAGCAGGAGCCAGACTCCAAAAGCAGTAATTCAAGCGTTCACGAGACAAAAACTGACAACAACCGGTTCAAACACGCGCAGTTTACAATTTCAAATTTCGCACGCCCACCAAGGATAGCAAAATTCATCAGACATACTAAAACGCTGCTATAAAATATTAGACAATCGCTCCGCCCCAGACTTTTGTAAAATCCATGGCAAAATCCTGTGGGATTCTCGTGTTGTAGATGCATTTAGTTATAGCTATGGATAAATTTAAGATTATATTATAATGAAGCCGTTACGAATCAGGACGGATGAAAGTGATGGAGCTGCTATGCTATGCGCATGGATGAAAGAACCTGGATAGGAAACTCCTATTCCTTCAACATTACGGGCAGCGTTCCGGGCGATCGACCTGCCACCTAGCGTTCGGTAAGTATCGGGACTGGAAACTCCCGCCGTTAAGCATTACGGCCTATGGGGGACGCGGGGCGGCATGTTTTGAAACGGGTATTAGACCGCAATGCAGATTTATTTTTAGGTTTAGAAGCTATTTACGACAGACAAAATTGATCAGGCTATCGAATGAGACCAAAACTATTATTGTCCGTTCCGCACAAAAGTCGTACACGAGGGCCGAATACAGGCGACCTTGAAAAAGAGGGCCATTTCTAGTGTTTTTCTCTTACGCGGCGCCGGTGAACGCTTACGCGGCGCCAGTGAATGCGCGGCAGACGCGGCTCCCGCTGCCGCCGCGCGTGCCCTCGGGCACTTACCGAAGGGAACGCAATCAGCTGTTAGTTTCCAATCCAGGTTCTCCTTCATCCATGCTATGCGTATTCCAGCCCGCCTCCATGTATGGCCAACTGCGCTTTCCAAACATGGATATCACCAATGATCCTAGCGCGGTCTGCTACGATTATTTTGCAACCAGTTGCTCCTCATCTATGCAAACATAACCATGTTTGCCTGATTTTAGCATGATAGCATCACAACTAAAATGTTTCTTGTATCCATGCTAGTGTCTGCCTCACACTTTTCCGTTCCTGTAAATCAATTTTACCCGCGGCCACCTCGCTTCATTGCTGAGCAGCGAATAACGCATGTAGATGGCGAGACCGAACATATAAAAATCTGTGTTACAGGATGTTAGTGCTGATATTGTGTAGTTGTTACATGCATGACCAAGCCATTGTAGTCAGCAAGCAGCGGATGACGATAGCGGTTTCGTCTGCGACCATCCGGCCGTGGGCCATATCTCCTCATAGCGCGTCCGGCACAACTGCCGAGCCATAACTGCGCGAGCCCAACCCTGGACGAGAAAAGGGGCACGCGAGACTCGGGTCAGGCCGGCTGCTCGGCGCAAAGTACAGAAGACATTCACACGCTCCATCGGCGATTCATGTCTCAAAGCAAACACTGGACCAAGTGATACGCGCGATAGGCTGCAAATTATTCATTTGCAACGCTTTCAATGGTGACATTATCAATGTATTTCGAAGTCATGTAACACAAGTCACAACTCCGGAGGTGGGAAAAACAACAGAAAAGACAAAAATGAATTGAACGGCCGGCGACTTGATTCTAGTCCCCAAGAAATTCTTACTTAGTGATAGTTCGAGATATCAACCACGGTGCCAGACACAACACCAAGCCCCCTCCATGACGCAAACATCTCAAATTCCCACACAGCACAGCATCCAAGCGTTACATCAGGATCCCAATAATTGTCCGATGGTTGCTCCTGAACAGATACTGCAGCAGGACCGGGACGTCGCGTCAAAGCACACGGCCGGCCACAGTTCTACACAGGCGCATACGGCTGTCGCAATTTCAGTACGCCGCACCATTGCACGCGGCTGTCGCTAAGCAGTAACGAAACCCCCAGGCTTCCAAGTCGCCAATGGCCGATATGGTCATAAAGCAACAGGCCTTCCCTATTATTACGGCTGATATGGTGTGGTACACATACACGTTACAGCAAGCATGAGCCTCACAACTGCTTGCTTCGTAATCATATGGCACGTCGCATAAAGCACGATAATGGATATTTGACACAGTAACAAAAGGCGACCCTATACCCAATTAATCAGTATAGCACGTCTCCGCAATGTACGTTACTTCTACGCAGGCAACATTACAACAAGATTCACCCCAATACGGTGAGATAAACAAACAAATCGCATAGCAGAAACTAATTAAAGATCGCTTCAATAAGCCAATACACAACTACGGCGCTGGCATACAACTTATCATAGCAATTTCGCTTAGGTATAAGCAATGCGTTGAGTAGAGGGTCATTATCAAATATCAAGCACGGTTACACCAGCAAATATATAGTAGCTTTACAAAACATTAAAAACAATACAGCAGCCGCTGAGCGGCACACTTAAAGTTAACAAAATAACATCAACACAGGCCGAATCGACGGCAGTTCCTTCGTAGTACATGTAGACCACGTGTGGCCAATGTTCCAACGGGTAGCCTCTATACATGAGTCCTCGGGCCCGATGGAATTTATATTCAGATCACGGGCGACGTAGGAACCGACGCATTCGTTTAGATCCATCACAATAGTCATTAGTCACTTCGTAGATACTGCTTCACCAAACACACAGACTCCAGCATGGTTGGGACTCATCATCAGTTCAGACATTCATCAGATCATCAGTTCTTGGGTAGATGTACAATGTACATTTTATGCCCCGCCCTCACTGGGCCCCTTTAGCATACAAAACCAAGCCCCCAACCCTCTCCGCTCCACCGTCCGACCCGAGCGGAGACGGCCCATTTTATTGAGAGAGGGGTGGGCGTATATCAGTAACCGTTACAGGTATCGTTTACCAAAGGTCGATACCCGCGCGGCCCGCTCATGGAGCACCCGCGCCGTTTCGATGCTTAGTAACCACCCGGCCGTGCCGGGCCCGCTCTGGTCGACCCCGCCGGGTCTGCTGACCGACCGGGCCGGGTCTGCTCTGCCCCACCGGGACTTCCCGGAGGCCTGTGCGGCAGGAAGGCGAGTGCTCCGAGGCACAGGAAGGCATCGCGCTCCGCTCACCGCTCGGTGCTGTCTCCACTGGAACAACAAGGCACGGACGGCGTCAGCTGGGGTGCGGCACAGACGGCGTCAGCTGTACGACACAAACAGTGTCAGCGGTATAATAGCATAGATGGCCACTTTGTTAAACGACAATATGCATACTTGACAGACCGAACGAATACATACAATACTAAAAACACTTCAACAGATCATCATTTAACTTAACAAGGAAAACTTAAAAAGCCTTTATTAGCCGAAAGCTGCGCTGCGCAGTTAGCATCCAGCGTTGAATTTATCGCCCAAGCTTTAAGTTTGCCTTGCCGTTCGACCAATTAGTTGCTAGCTCCAACGCCACTGGCTCAACACAACCGGTGACTCACCCGCTAGGCAGGGGCCGCCCGTCCGGCAGCGGGAGTCCCTTGTCCCTGATCAGCTCCTCGAGTCGGGTGCAGTACTCGCGCCACTGGTCCAGCTCGTGCTGCACCTTGTAGCGCGCCTCTCGCTCCTGCTCCAGCTTGTGCTCAGAGTGGCGACGGACCGACATCACCATACCTGGTGATGGAACGAAACAGTCACCAGCGGAACCAGGAACAGAACAACAAATGCGTCGGAAAACGCAAGAACAGGGAGAGCATGTTACAGGCACGTTCCTTTATTCTTAAAGGGACCCTCCCACCTTAACATTAGATTTGAGTTGAGATAGCCAAAATGGGGTCCCTGGCTCACAATTACCGGTTTCGGCACTCACAACATCGAGAAATGCCTTAAATCGGAAATATTGAATTTCAAAATTGCAGCATTTTGATTCAGAGGGGCTAATGCTTAGGAATACCCCTCTGAATGTGTGACGTCAGCACAAATATCTAACGATTTTTAAATGTTTTACTAAAACGTTTTGTAGCACGCGGTGGTATATGCTATTTGCGCGCAACATCTGCGCAAACGCCGCACTTCTAAAATAAAGTCGCTAGAAACAGCGGAGATCCCAAAAAAGAAGACAAAAGTGAAAGTCTAATATCTTGAAAACCGGTGAATATTTTTCGGTGAAATTTGGTAGATATTCGTTTTCGCTCTTTCTGAACCGAGCGACATCACTTTCATGCCAATTCATAGACTTTTTTGAAGGTGGGAGGGTCCCTTTAAGTACCTATGCGTGTGCCAGGGATTTGTACAACACCTACGCGTAAAATAGTGGTTATCACCGGTAACAATATATACGTTCTTTCATCGTTGAATATGCGCGCACCGGGGTTCTCATCGCTGAGCGTGCGTATTCCGTGGTTCTCACAGCTCACTATATTCATTGCCATAGATAACATGAATCTGTTCAATAGATTCATGTTATCTATGTCATTGCGTATCTCGGGGTTCTTACCGCTGAGTATGCGAGTGACGCGCCACAGCCGCAGCACGATGATGAGCCCGGCGCCGTTGATGGGTCCCACCGAGTGTCGGAACGCCACATCCAGCGAGAAGGAGACGATCACCACCAGCGCGTCAAACAGCTCCCACGGCATGCGGAAGTACTCCAGACGGTACACGTACAGCTTCACCGGGATCTCCAGCAGGAACAGAGACAGGATCGCGATCGAGATGTTGTGCAGCACCTGGCCAGCGGGGCGGGGGCGGAGCGGTCATTGTCAGAGTACGGCTGACCGGGGACTCGAGCCAGTCGGGAACGAAAAGCGAGAGAACTAAGCCAACGACCTTCACCTATTATGACGATAAATAGCCGCGAGTGGGTAGTATCAGACGGATATCTGAAGTCAAATTACATATCGGAAAAGACTGAAAGAAGGCTTGCCTTTCTAATAACTAAAATACCATTCCAGCAGATGACCAAAACCACGTGTACAACTTCCTCTTTTTTAATCGCTCGTTACTAGCGGAATATAGGAAAACAAAACTTTTACAGATACTACAACCATTCAAACAGATCAGGATTACAGCAAATATCATGCTAAGCGTGTCATGTGACAGTACACAAATAATCATAGCGACCCATAAAACTCCGACTTACCGGTACCATTCGGTTGCTGCGTGACAAAAAGGTCATTTTTAGAATTCAAAGTTAGGTAGGTATGTGAAGCGTAAATGTTTGGTACTTGGAAAATAACTTAGAAAAATGCAACTTTGAGTATCATGGAGCACAGTTATAGCTAACTCGCAGATAAGCCAGCAGATAACATTAAAATTCACATAAATATCCAAATTAGTAAGGCATATGAAAACCCTGTGATCATCAGCTGACGACGTACCGTCTTCACGACGTGACTTCCCTCGGCTGAGGCTATCTCCAGGTCGATCAGCAGCTCAGCGATAACGCAGATGCAGTCCAGAATCACCAGAGCAATCACGACCGTCTGAGAGAGGAAACATCGCGGTGTTTGGTGAGCACTGCTGCGGACAGTATAAAAAGGCAAGAACAAAGATAACCAATTCAGGCAACAAATCACAGCTAAGTGAAAATAGCTGAAACACAAGCAGGATCACCTGTTTTCTTGACAGAGACCACTTCAAGACAGGAATGCTGATTTTTTTGCCAACATCTGCAGCGAACAGTCCACCACCGGCACAGCGCTAACATGATGCGACAGCTGCTCCCAGGGGAGGGGCGTAGTACGGCCACAGCATTGCACCGGCTGTACTCACCTGGTACCGGTAGGAGTGGACCAGGTGCGCCAGCCGCTCTCGGGCGGTGGCGTACGGCCGCAGCTCTCCGGAGCCGCCGCCGCCCCCCGGGCCGCTATCGGTGGCACCGGGGCCGTCAGCGATCTTCACCCGGAGCTCATTGGCGAGCTGCTGGTGGCCGTCCAGGACAGACGAGACCGCTGGCGGGGTGGCAGCCATATTCTCACACTAAAAACTGCTGGGCAATGAGGGGTAGAGGCAGGGATTTAGTGGAGTGTTCTTGTTCTGTGCTTGTAATCAACTGTCATACCACTGGTTAATTTTTGATGGGTGAAGTAATCTGATCCCAGTTTGCAAAGTATGGCAATTTCGACGAGATCTCGTCGGTGCGGACTTGTTCGGCTGGTGCGGAGTTGGTGCGGTGCGGCGCGGATTTGGCTTGGTGCGGTGCGGATTTAGTGAAGTGCGGTGCGGAATTGACTTAATGACGGACATGACAGACCAGACGAGATAGATGAGGAAAATCGAGAAAAAAATTGGTGGAGCTTCAACATCACGTCATTCAGTGTGCTCTCGTAATTCAGTGTGCTTTCAGTCTCGGGTCTAAATGAGTGTGCGGTGGTCAGAACGGACTGCCAGTGCTGGTGGTCCCATCAATCACGTGGGATGCCCGTAAGTTCGCACTCTCTGCACTGTTGAAGCTCGAAACGCACCGCTCGTCTCTGCGAGGCGCCGGCGGTAGAGTGAGAGAGATAAGCACGGCCGATGAGAGTGAGACTTGAGAGGGATTCAAGATTTGTATGGTGGATGAGAGGGCCAGAAAATCACCACTCCGCCGCTTCAAGCAGTCAAATGCAAACGATTTCTCAGGAACGTTCGACGCAGCTAACGGGTTGCATTGAAAAAATCTGATTTTGCTGCATCCTGCGCTCGGCGGCATTCGTAAACGAGATGCACTCGGCTCATGAAGCGGTTTCGGTGCATATCTTTTGTACTCTCAGAGTGTACTCTTTGGTCCAGATTTTCCGGCTCTATTCGAAGGATTGGTGCGGATTATGAACTTACGCCAGTGTACCTCGTCGACCTGTGAGCCAGACTGTGATCATCAAAATGTCTGTAACATCCCTACATAGATTAGAGGGTAGACAATGTAGCAGTGTGAATTAACAAGGTATGTAGGAAAAATCCTGAGCAAACCAATTGCATAAATGTATTGCTTTTCTTTTTTTGTAAGCTTAAGGCACAATCAAATCACTTCACAGAAATACATTTGTACCTAATTTTTAATTACGAGCGAGCGAGCGCAGCGAGCGAAGCGAGTCTTTTCAATATAACGGAAAAATCTCAGTATGAGCGGCCCGGCCCGGCCCGGCCTGTAACGCTTTTGAGAGGCTTATATCTCAGCAACCGCTGGACCGATTGGCCTGTGGTCTTTTTTGCTGGGTAGCCCCATCCCTTCTACCCCGTAATTGACTACTTTTGATACATCTCAGTGACCGTCGTGGCACGTGCCACGTGAAAAGCCAAGGGTGTTCAAGCTGTTTTGCAAAAGTAGTTATTTTGAGAGGCTCATATCTCAGCAGCCGCTTGGGCGATTGACTAGCGGTAATTTTTGTAGGGTAGCAGCATCCCTTCTACCAAAAATAGGATACTCTCCAGATGCATGTGGGTCACCCCCAGTGCACGTGCAAAATACAACAATAAGAGGTGTCAAATTTGTTCCCATTTCAATAACTCGGTAATTACTGGGGCGATTTCGCTGAAACTTGGCATACAGGTAGGCATCCACCAGGCAATGCATTCCCATGTGTTGCGGTTAAGGTGCTACTGCACGTGCGCACGTGCAGGGGGCGCTTCCAGATCTCGAGAACGGCTAGGCCGATTGCGCTCAAATTTGGTACACGGTTGGGGACCAGTTAGTAGGGTGCCGTGCAAAAGTCAGTTTGGACCCCGTTTGCACGTGCGCACGTGCAGAATGCCGCTTCCAGATCTCAGGAACGGCTGGGCCGATTGCGTTCAAATTTGGTACACCACTAGTGACCGGTTAGAAGGGTGCTTTGCGCAAGCCCGTTGGAAGTACCCTCTCGCCCTTCCGCACGTGGAGCCTGCAGGGCTCACTATCTCGCCCGCTCGTTCTTCGCCCAAAAGGCGTTTTACTGGTATTATTACGAGCGAGCGAGCGCAGCGAGCGAAGTGAGTCTTTTCCATGTCTTTTCAATATAACGGAAAAAATCTCAGTATGAGCGGCCCGGCCCGGCCCGGCCTGTAACGCTTTTGAGAGGCTTATATCTCAGCAACCGCTGGACCAATTGGCCTGCGGTCTTTTTTGCTCCGTAGCCCCATTCCTTCTACCCCGTAATTGACTACTTTTGATACATCTCAGTGACCGTCGTGGCACGTGCCACGTGAAAAGTCAAGGGTGTTCAAGCTGTTTTGCAAAAGTAGTGATTTTGAGAGGCCCATATCTCAGCAGCCGCTTGGGCGATTGTCTTGCGGTAATTTTGTAGGGTAGCTGCATCCCTTCTACCAAAGGTCGGATATTCTTGATCTAAGTGAGGGACCCCCACTGCACGTGCAAAATGCAAAAAGAAGAGGTGCCAAATTTGTTCCCATTTCAATAACTCGGTAATCACTGGGGCGATTTCGCTGAAACCAAGATACCTATAAGAAACAGGTAGGTCCGATGTTTTGAGTAAAGCCCAGTAAAGCCCTGGTGACGTCACTGACATTTCTTATATGGATAATTTCGCCCATAAGGAAAATATTTTACATACGAAAATTTGTATTTCATTAGGAAAAAATACATTCTATCAATTTCATCATGAAACTTATATAATTTAATTAAAAAACTTGAAATCCTTTGAGTGCTTGTCCCAACCCCTGCTATACCTTTGGTCACGTGACTTCCATGATAAACTTTGCGTTTTGCAATATTATGACTTAAACAGAAGCAATAAATGTTACAAGCGTATTATTTATGATGTTTTAGGCAGCAATCGTGTAATAACATCCTTGAATTATATACATTCTGCTTAAAAGAGGTCACGTGATGTTACCAGATTGTGCTCGGACAGCATTTTCTTAAACTTCGATTTTGAGTACTTTTTACCTTCATTGAGTCCTAATAACGGACGTTTTTAGTTATAAAATGAAGCAATGAATCTATTGAGGGCAAAATTTAATCATTTTTGCACTTTCAAGCCGGGCTATCCTGGCATGAACTTCGGCCGGTTTGTGTGTGAAGCCTATGGTGAAGGGAAAACTTCACGCCCGGCTGACGTCACAGACCTCGGCTACCAAATCGTGTCCGGTGGGGGTCGGCTGAAACTTGGCATACAGGTAAGTAGGCACCCACCAGGCAATGCATTCCCATGTGTTGCGGTTAGCGTGCTACTGCATGTGCGCACGTGCAGGGGCGCTCCCAGATCTCGAGAACGGCTGGGCCGATTGCGCTCAAATTTGGTACACGGTTGGAGACCAGTTGGTAGGGTGCCGTGCAAAAGTCAGTTTGGACCCCTTTTGCACATGCGCACGTGCAGAATGCCCCTTCCAGATCTCAGGAACGGCTGGGCCGATTGCGTTCAAATTTGGCACACCGCTAGCGACCGGTTAGAAGGGTGCTTTGCACAAGCCCGTTGGAAGTACCCTCTGGCCCTTGCGCACGTGCAGGGCTCACTATCTCGCTCGCTTGTTCTTTGCCCAAAAGGCGTTTTACTGGTTGCATAGTTAAGTAGGTAATATCAAAGCTCATCAAGGTCATGTTCTCTGTGATTTCATGCTCATCGTGCTTGGATATTGATATCATTATGGCTTATGACATCTAGTATTTTACGCCTTGATATTGATATGATCCATGAATACAGATATCTACCTACACCTTTAACCCTCGCCCGCACATGCCATTTTCCCATCCTAGAACGCACATGGGGGGGGGGGGGTGGTTGCCACCCCCCCCGCGCCATTTCGTTCCTGTTGGAGATAGAGCTTAGCAGTAAAGACCAAAAAGATTCTTTGGGAAGAGACGAATCCAATGATACCCAGTTTTACCTTCTCAGGTCAGTCATTGACCTTCCAGGTCAGGTCAAACTAAAAAAATGTTGCTGTTTTGGGTCACCGTTGGATATCAAGTGCGCTGCTTATCAAATACCGATGACGATGCTGTTTTCTGGTGCCAAGCCAGCTATAACCTCTTTGTCACACTATCTGACCAGAATTTTGCTGCTGAGGTCATTTCAGGTCAAGTTAGGTCAAGGTCAATTATATGTGTTTGTATGTTTGTGTGTGTCTGTGTGTATACTGATGTGTGCACCGATTGTTTTTGGGTCAATATCACATGAAATCATGATCTGAGAAGCTTTTACCAAAAATGCAGTCAAAAAACTTCACAAAAAGAAAATTCAGCTTGCCTAAAACGCAATTATCTTAGATGACCTAGGTTGACCTTGACCCTGACCTTGACCCCTGTACATCGTCGAACAACATGTTCCATGATAGGTGGGAGGTAAGACTGGCAAAAAAGGCCGAAATCAGGGTGTCAAAAGCTCACAAGGCCCATGGCAAACGCAAGATGTTGAGAATTGGCCATTTGGGTCATGACATGACCTGAAAAACAAGGTCATATCTCCGAAACCGAAAATCACAGAAACTTGAAATTTTCAGTGGACATCAAGAAAGGATAGACGAGCAGCTATACGAAAAATCAGCCTTCTAGCTCTAAAGATGTTGAGTGCAGAGCAGAAAGACTGCCTGGGGGGGGTGGCAACCACCCCCCCCATGTGCGGGCGAGGGTTAATACCTGAGTCTGAGATAATGGTGGGACTCACCCAAAATTATTACTGAATCTACCCCAAATTACCCTATAAAAATGCAGATAAATCAAAATGCAACGAGCTATGCGACTGCGACACATCAAACGACAACATCAACGCCAGCAACGCAAAAAACAACATACACAGGCAGCCAAGTTGAAGTTGTTGTTTCGTTGTTTTGGGCTGGGTGGATTTTGGTTTTGGGTATCTGTAAGAATCTTGGTTTTGGGTTAGGGCGTGTAGCAACCTCAGTGCCTCAGGCAAGACAACAGGCAGCAACACGAGTGCACGGTAGAGAACTCACGAGTGTTGTTGGAGCACGAGTTGTGATGAGTTCAATGCAAGTTCATGTCAAGTGTCATGTGTCAACGATATGCCCACAGCACTGCGACCATTGCGACGAAATAGTCTGTTCGCCGCCCATAGAACATTTGTCGATCAGGCACGTCTTGTACAAAGTCTTGTAGAGCTGCAAGCTGCTATATTTATTATTTAAAAATAAGAATTCAAAGACTTCTTTGTCCAATGAAAAAGTACAACTCAGAGTAACATAGCTCTTCAATATTTACTTCTAAACTTTTTTGACTGACGCTCAAGAAAAGGAAATCTTTTTCACGCAAAGTGAGGTGATAGAAATATGGACACAATCATCTTCGAACCAATGAAATTAATTGTGAACATCTGAAGGCAGCCTGACTGAAACACAATTCTAAATGTAAGTTAAAGGGACCCTCCCACCTTAACATTAGATTTGAGTTGAGATAGCCAAAATGGGGTCCCTGGCTCACAATTACCGGTTTCGGCACTCACAACATCGAGAAATGCCTTAAATCGGAAATATTGAATTTCAAAATTGCAGCATTTTGATTCAGAGGGGCTAATGCTTAGGAATACCCCTCTGAATGTGTGACGTCAGCGCAGATATCTAATGATTTTTAAATGTTTGACTAAAACGTTTTGTAGCACGCGGTGGTATATGCTATTAGCGCGCAACATCTGCCGCAAACGCCGCACTTCTAAAATAAAGTCGCTAGAAACAGCGGAGATCCCAAAAAAGTAAACAAAAGTAAAAGTCTTATATCTTGAAAACCGGTGAATATTTTTCGGTGAAATTTGGTAAATATTCGTTTTCGCTCTTTCTGAACCGAGCGACATCACTTTCATGCCAATTCATAAACTTTTTTGAAGGTGGGAGGGTCCCTTTAATGCCACTAAAAAATCATCAGGTACACCTACCAGTATACGACGCATGAGCAAGGGAAGTGTAAAAGTAAACAAAGTAACGTTCTTTGAATTCTGATTTATTGAAGTTCCAAGTACCTAATCTACGTTAACATGAACAATTCTGAACTCTTTTATCATCATACATATTCAAACCGCTTGCTGCTGCACCATTACGAATTGAAATAAGGTATGCGCTAGGCGTGTATGCCTTGCTCAGACGCACGTTTTCTGAGCGTCGTTCCATAGCTTTGGCCACTCGCACTGCATGCGTACGGCGATTCCATCTTGACAGTAGTAAAAGTAACGTGGGTCGGTCGGATCAGCGAACAAACCATTAGGCAGTGGGCAGACAAAATCGGGGCCAGGCGAGGGGGAAGTAGTCGGCTGTGGGGGCTGCGGGTTACGGACAAAAGTACGTATCGCTAAAGTACGTAGGACAAAAGTACGTAAGCAAAAGTACGTAGGATTAAAGTACGTATCGCAAAAGTACGTACAGTATAAAGTACGTATGGACAAAAGTACGTCAGGGACAAAAGTACGTATCGCAGAAATACGTACAATATAAAGTACGCATGGACAAAAGTACGTCAAGGACAAAAGTACGTATCGCAGAAGTACGTACAGTATAAAGTACGTATGGACAAAAGTACGTCAGGGACAAAAGTACGTATCGCAAAAGTACGTAGGGTATAAAGTACGTATGGACAAAAGTACGTCAGGGACAAAAGTACGTATCGCAAAAGTACGTAGGGTATAAAGTACGTATGGACAAAAGTACGTCACGGACAAAAGTACGTATAGCTAATGTACGTAGGGTAAAAAGTACGTATGGACAAAAGTACGTCACGGACAAAAGTACGTATCGCAGAAGTACGTAGGGTATAAAGTACGTATGGACAAAAGTACGTCACGTACAAAAGCCTACGCATAGCAAATGTACGTAGGGTATAAAGTAGGGTAGCCTTGGGCAAGACGCCACAGATAATTTATTTTGCTACATAGGTACCTACTTTTGTCTCACATCACCTGGAAGGCCAAATTTGTGCTCAATGTGTTCTTTGGACATTTTACTTTAAATTCCACCCCTCAAATTCATTCACTTATGATTGGACTCCCAGCTAGGAAGTGCTTTGTGAAGCAACTGCAAATGGGGCATTTTCCCCAACCCCAGGGCAAAACACCCCACGGCCTGAGGCAAGAAGCCCCATACACTAGATCAGTGGTCGGCAGGTCATTCGGGGTCGTGCCCCCTTTTTGGGCGCCAGGCAGGGCCATTACCCCCACCTACCAGACCCCATTGCTGACACAACTATGTTTACTGAAATTCCATACCGTCCTGGAACTCTTTGGGTATTTGTGCATTTCCAATGCATCACATTTAAAACATGACACTTCCTCCACAAAACATTTAATGCCTGTATCCCAGTAGCGGCGGAACACCTTCAATTAAGGGGGAGGGGGGGGGGAGCACTGCCGACTTTTGGTCCCATTCTTTCCATGCAACGCCCATAGGGCTAATGTTAAAATGCAAAAATCAAAGGGTGCACGGTGCCCCGGTGCCCTCCCCGTTCCGCCGCCTATGCTATATCCCATTTAACCCTTGTACGTATAGGGGCGGCGGGTGGTTTTTCGTTAAAAGCTCACGTAAAAGGCATTGGATCACGACCAAATTGTACCCTCGAGCCCATATTTTTTTTTTCACCAGCCCGGAAAATATCATGACCTGAGACCAGTTTTACCAACAGAAAAATAACCGCCTGCCGGAATTTTTGCCTCAAGACCGCTTCACATACGGAGCGTAAACGCGATGGGCTCGTAAGCGGATAGGGCTTTACCGTTTACGCTCCATATGTGAAACGATCTTTAGGCAAAAATTCCGGCAGGCGGCTATTTTTCTGTTGGTAAAACTGGCCTCTGGACCCATAATGACCGTTGGCTTATGAGCTTTTTATGGAGATCATCTTGAGCCATAAAATCTCACTTCAAGAAGTTATAGCGGGTCCCGATTTTCTCGACACTTATCATTGCCCTCTTGAATGAGACGGAATGACCAAGGACCTTAAAAATGGGCAGCAGCGGCTTCCTATGGTCACGGGTAGCACGCTCGTCTTTTTTTTATGCACAACTCCATATCAGAGTCCGAGAGGCCGCGGGGGTCCGATCGACTCCTCCCCCTTACGTTAGCGGCTGTTGAAACGCCAACAGACGGGCGACGGTTAAAAGTTGCAGCTGCTTTTGAACGACTGTACGGAGGGGTGAGATGGTGAGGCGAGCAGGTACATACGTGAAAGTTGGTATCTAATCAATAGTGTGCTGTGCCTTTGGCCTGGGCTAATCTTTGAACCCTGGGATGCAACAGTCACGATGGCTCCATCACTGGAGCTACAAACTCTAAAAAGATAGGCTTTCTCAGAATCCCTCATTACCCCCACCGAAAGGGCTCCATTACCGCCAAAGGGGGCATACCCCACCATTTGCCGACCCCTGCACTAGATTAACAGAAGAGAGGATCTTTCCCCAGAACCCTGCCAGTTCCGAGAAACATCGGTGAGGCGTTTTACCTCGGCGGGGCGACTTGCCCCGGTCTACCCTACGTATGGACAAAAGTACGTCACGGACAAAAGTACGTATAGCAAATGTACGTAGGGTATTAAGTACCTACGTACCCCACCCTTGGGTTAAGTTGATCAATGTGTAATACCTTTCTGATTCTTTATTTAATGAGCATTTGTTACAAGGCATAGCAAAATTTATTGATGAGTAAATGGGCGAAATGGACAAAGCTATATTATTTGGTATATGAATTTATCATGAGTTCCCTGCAGTATGGCAACAGAGCAGCAATAAAGAAAAAGTGGCCCAACTTACACGACTATACCCTACTTCTAACATACGTACTTTATACACTACGTACTTTGGCATACGAACCGTACGTACTTTTGGCATACGTACTTTTTACACTACGTACTTTTGCATACGAACTTTTGCGTACGAACATTTGCGTACGTACTTTTGGCATACGTACTTTATACACTACGTACTTTTGCATACGTACTTTTGCGTACGAACACTTGCGTACGTACTTTTGGCATAGTTACTTTATACACTACGTACTTTTGCATACGAACTTTTGCGTACGAACATTTGCGTACGTACTTTTGGCATACGTACATTTTACACTACGTACTTTTGCATACGTACTTTTGCGTACGAACATTTGCGTACGTACTTTTGGCATACGTACTTTATGCACTACGTACTTTTTCATACGTACTTTTGCGTACGAACATTTGCGTACGTACTTTTGACATACGTACTTTATACACTACGTACTTTTGCATACGTACTTTTGCGTACGAACATTTGCGTACGTACTTTTGGCATACGAACTTTATCGCCTACGTATATTTGCGTACGAACATTTGCATACGTACTTTTGTCCTACGTACTTTAGCGATACGTACTTTAGTCCTAAAATCGGGGGCTGCGGCGTTGTGGTGCTAAGGTCCTCAGGAGATGTAGGCGGCGCTGTGGTAGCGCGAGGAGTAGTTGTAGGTGGCGCTGGTGAGGTGGAAGTCTGCTCTGGCGAGGTCCTCGGCGGCTCCGTGGTCGTGTCGGCCGGGGTGGTGGTGGGAGCGGGCCTAGAGGTCGCCTCAGTAGTGGTGCCCGCGGAGGACGTCGGAGCCAGCGTGGTCTCGTCTGTTGGAATACATTTGCACCCATTGGTCAGGGATCAGCCGCAGCCGCAACTCAATTTGACCCTCGAGTCTGTGAGTGTGGTCCATGTTGTGTGCTGACTGCTGTGTATAAACAGGAGCACCAGGAAAAGCGGTTTTCCATTGAATGAAGTTGAGAATGTCCCACAAGTCGAATTTAAAATATGAGGTAAGTAGACACGAGCCCACCTGATGCACGCCCCCTCTCCCCGACGCCCTCCCTCCCCGACGTCCGGGGCCGCACCAACCTGCCACGATGAGCCGGGCGTCTCGCGAGCTGACGTGCGAGGTGTTGGCCAGCGGCCAGCACGTCCAGAGGCCGTCGTGGCGCCGGTCGGCGTCCTCGATGAGTATGCTGCAGACGCGCTCGTGCTCGGGGAACAGGGCGCGCACCTTGTCCGGCGGCGCCACGTTGTAGAAGTGGTCGACGCCCAGCTGGGTGCCGGCGATGCGCCAGGCGCAGATGTCGCCCTGGCTGGCGGCAGTGAGCTCACAGTCGAGCTGTACGGTGCCGCCGGGCCGCACCCAGGCGTCCTGCGGCTCCAGGACGAACACCGAGCTGGTCTCGGAGTCGGCGCCAGAGCCGGCCGCACCTGTCGAACACAGTCCCGGCACATACTGAGCCTCTGTGACGAGTCGCAGTCACATGCCTTTAAACGCGCCTATAGCTCCTGTCAGACATGGTTAACAAGTACAGAAATGCAGCTATTTGCTGTATTTGAAGCCATAAATCTGCCATAAAATTTAGTGGAAGAGCTTTAAAAGAGCTATCGAATGTTTTGTCAACATGTAACTATTCGTTGACGAGGTTTGAGCCAATTTTTCAAAACGTTGTCACGAAATTGGGCTGATTTCACGCTTCAAGACCTCTGATAACCTTATCGTTGACCTTATAAAAAACTGACGTCCTTTTAATATCCGTTAATCGCTTGTTGCTGCGTTAGAAACATATAGGCTTTGAGGGAAAGTGCGTTAAGTACCTACTTGTATGGGAATATTACGATGGGATCACGTCCTCGCCCAGGCTGGCGTGATGACAAAAGTAAGCGAACATAATGCCATTGGAGGACATTTAAACATGTCTAAAGTGAAATAAATGCTTCGGCACATCAGCTTACCTGAGGTCAGGACGCAGATCAGAATACTGACGGCGATCGGTATCTCCATTGTCGCGGACCGGCGCTGCCGCTGCTCCGCCCGCCTCTGGTGCCGAGCTGAGTCTGTGGCTCAGGTGCTGACCGTGAGGCACTGACGGCTCTTACCGGGTCACGCATCACCACTAACGTCTCCCTACGCCCGCACGCGCTCCTATCTTATCGCAAAGATCATGCGAGCGGCGGACACAGTGGGTGGAATGCCGACGAATCCGCACTTAGGGCGTCTTGCTGCACCACTTGAAAAATGATGAAACCAATTCATCCGAACATCCGTTTTGATTATCTTTCAAGTGATTCGCCTACAAACTTGGTCGGAGAATGTCGCAGAGCTTTGTCGGCACGTTCGTAAAAAAGCACAATCTTTTAGTCGTTAAGGGATCTTGGCGTACTTCAATGATGGACAATGGATAATGAGCAGGTCGTCACCATTCGCGATCAACTGAGTCATAGACCTTTAATGGCATCGTCACAATTAAGGTACCTACCTCTCAGTTGTAACTTCTCCAATCTCCACCCAATCTCTGTTTCCTTTGTACCGTGCTCTTATGACATAAGTGGGCATGTATATTTACCTATGCAGTATGCAGGCCACAGTGTGCATGCAAAATCGCAACTAAAAAGATTTAAACGACCGACTTCAGTGACCGTAATATAGGTATAATCTGCTGTTTAGTATGCGACCACCGCCGACCATAGAAAAACGACTTATCATGCCTAAGGTCCACCGTTATGCGGAATGCGGCTGGTCATTGGATCATTCACAATTTCACACCACTCTCCGTTCAAGCAGTGTGTAGATGCTGCTGGTCCCCGTGACTCGTGACCAAAGCTCAGAAAATGAACGGTCATCGCCGCATTGTTGTGTAGGTATATCGAGGACGTTGGACCGGGACGAACGGTACCTGGGTGCAGCGACCATTTCACTACGCATGCATAGTTAATTGATAATCCTCGAAAATCGGTGCACACTTTTCGGTGAAATTTGGTAGATATTCATTTTCGCTCTTTCTGAACCACGGTAGTGCAGTACAGCACTTTAACGCCAATTTTTGAAGGTACTTGGAGGGCATGGGCGTAGGAACGGCTGAAATATTGTGGGTGCAATAAGTGCATGGGCGCAGAAATCCAACTAGTCCCGGGTTTCCCCTATACCTATAGGTAGGGCAAAATATCTTGAACTCGTCATATACTGCATGGGAAGAAGCATTGATGTGAGAAGGGTTTGGCTCCAGACTAGTGTGGGTGTAAAATGCATTGCCTGCACTTACTGGATAATTACTGTGAGTGCAGCTGTACCCATTGCGCCCATGGTTGTTCCTACGCCCATGGGGATCCCTTTAACGACATCACATGCGTACTTATTACCAGTAAAACGCCTTTCGGGCGAAGAACGAGCGAGCGAGATAGTGATCCTGCACGTGCGGAAGGGCGAGAGGGTACTTCCAACGGGCTTGTGCAAAGCATGCTTCTAACCGGTCGCTAGCGGTGTACCAAATTTGAACGCAATCGGCCCAGCCGTTCCTGAGATCTGGAAGCGGCATTCTGCACGTGCGCACGTGCAAACGGGGTCCAAAATGACTTTTGCACGGCACCCTACTAACTGGTCCCCAACCGTGTACCAAATTTGAGCGCAATCGGCCCAGCCGTTCTCGAGATCTGGAAATGCCCCCTGCACGTGCGCACGTGCAGTAGCACCCTAACCGCAACACATGGGAATGCATTGTCTGGTGGGTGCCTACCTGTATGCCAAGTTTCAGCGAAATCGCCCCAGCAATTACCGAGTTATTAAAATGGGAACAAATTTGACACCTCTTATTGTTGTATTTTGCACGTGCACTGGGGGTGACCCACATTCATCGAGAGCATCCTATTTTTGGTAGAAGAGATGTTGCTACCATACAAAAATTACCGCAAGTCAATCGCCCAAGCGGCTGCTGAGATATGAGCCTCTCAAAATCACTACTTTTGCAAAACAGCTTGAACACCCTTGACTTTTCACGTGGCACGTGCCACGGCGGTCACTTAGATGTATCAAAAGTAGTCAATTACGGGGTAGAAGGGATGGGGCTACCCAGCAAAAAAGACCGCAGGCCAATCGGTCCAGCGGTTGCTGAGATATAAGCCTCTCAAAAGCGTTACAGGCCGGGCCGGGCCGGGCCGGGCCGGGCCGGGCCGGGCCGGGCCGGGCCGCTCATACTGAGATTTTTCCGTTATATTGAAAAGACTCGCTTCGCTCGCTGCGCTCGCTCGCTCGTAACGAGCGAGCGAGCGCAGCGAGCGAAGCGAGTCTTTTCAATATAACGGAAAAATCTCAGTATGAGCGGCCCGGCCCGGCCCGGCCCGGCCTGTAACGCTTTTGAGAGGCTTATATCTCAGTAACCGCTGGGATGATTGGCCTGCGGTCTTTTTCGCTGGGTAGCCCCATCCCTTCTACCCTGTAATTGACTACTTTTGACGCATCTCAGTGACCGTCGTGGCACGTGCCACGTGAAAAGTCAAGGGTGTTCAAGCTGTTTTGCAAAAGTAGCGATTTCGAGAGGCTCATATCTCAGCAGCCGCTTGGGCGATTGTCTTGCGGTAAGTTTTGTAGGGAAGCTGCATCCCTTCTTCCAAAGGTCGGATACTCTTGATCTATGTGAGTGACCCCCATTGCACGTGCAAAATACAACAATAAGAGGTGTCAAATTTGTTCCCATTTTAATAACTCGGTAATTACTGTGGCGATTTCGCTGAAACTTGGCATACAGGTAAGTAGGCACCCACCAGGCAATGCATTCCCATGTGTTGCGGTTAGGGTGCTACTGCACGTGCGCACGTGCAGGGGGCGCTTCCAGATCTCGAGAACGGCTGGGCCGATTGCGCTCAAATTTGGTACACGGTTGGGGACCAGTTAGTAGGGTGCCGTGCAAAAGTCAATTTGGACCCCGTTTGCACGTGCGCACGTGCAGAATGCCGCTTCCAGATCTCAGGAACGGCTGGGCTGATTGCGTTCAAATTTAGTACACCGCTAGCGACCGGTTAGAAGGGTGCTTTGCGCAAGCCCGTTGGAAGTACCTTCTCGCCCTTCCGCACGTGCAGGGAAATCTATCTCGCTCGCTCGTTCTTCGCCCAAAAGGCGTTTTACTGGTATACGTTAAACTGCGCCGTTGGGGAGGGGGGATTTTACGCCCCCCCCCTCAGGTTTTTTTCGCAAATACAGTGGAATCTGCTTAATAAATCCACCTTGGTGACGAGGTGTTTTGGATTTATTAAGCGGTGGCTTTGTTAACCGGAGTCATTTATTTTATTTTAATTAAAAAACTCATGCATCGCAGCTGCACGTTCCGTTTTCCCGCATAACAAGCGTATAGGCTAACATTTCTCATTGCCTTGTTAATACAATTAAAGTGGGCCAGGGGCTTTGCCACTGGTGGTGGTGGGGTTACGGGGGTCCGGACCGCAAAAAAAATTGATTTTTGTAATGCAGCCTAATGTATAAAGGCAGGTTTTAGGGTTGGATATGCCCCCGAACCTGCGACCGTAGAGACTGTACTGCGGGAGCATGCCCCCATGAAAGGGACCAGTTCACACAGCAAAGCTGTCGCAGCGATTAATTAAGTCAACATATCCATCCACGATCACTCCCCGTCATGCCTGCTACGCCGACGAAACAGTCGAGCGTGCCTGCTTTGCGGGAACATTTCTCTGAAGTGCATAGCAATTGCGCTCTTGATAGCCCTCCTGATAACTCATCCTGATAACTTGATAACTCCTGTTCTTAGAACTTCAACTGCTGCAGACTGCTGCTCCAGCACGGTTCTTTAGGAGCAAGTTGGATGCCACATTTCGAATGGGGAGACGTTACTGCGGTCTTCGGAACTCCTAATGGCTTTATTAACCCGCCCTCGCTGGGCTATTCAGCCATACGCGCCCTGCTGGGGGGAGGGGGGCAGATTCTGTTGCCGCCCCCCTGTCTAACTTCCGAACCGATGGGTCGTAGAAAGACGGGGAAAACGGCAATCGAAAGCTCTCAACAAGGCGGATCTTAAGAGCCCAATTTTTTTTGCTTAAGTAGGTCAGAGGTCAGGTCAAGGTCAGGTCAAGGGTACAAAATGCAAGTTTCTACATTATCGGCATTGCACCGAAGTTGCCGAAGAATGGACTGAGACTGATTGCCCAAAACATGTTCTTAGGCTACCAAGACAATATTCGTTGCATACAATACCATTCAAAGGTCAAGGTCAATGTCAGGTCAGGTCAGGTCACCAAAAACAAAATATAGAAAAGGGCATGTGCGAAACATGTTTTATGGGTCATTTTTTCATAGAATTCAATAGGCACACTCAATAAGTGATATGGACCACCTCTGGATTAAATTCAGGTCGAGGTCAGGTCAAGGTCAGGTCAACTGAGATCAAATTTGGAAGTTGGTTGTTAAGGCCTTAACTAGGTGTCTATCTGATGTAGTTTTTCACGCCGAATCGAATGGTGCTATTTTTGTTTCCGTACGAGGTCTAGAACTTCCAAAAATCATTTTTCAAAAATTTTGTGTGTCGTGACGTCATGAAATTTTGAATACCTCCCACATTTTTTAACCGAATCTTCTGAAAATTGGTATGTAGGTGCACATAGACCACTTCTCTGACATATATTCCGTTTTTTTCGATACAATCAGAATTTTGGATTTTATAATTAGGTATTTCCCCCAAAAAAGTCAGTTTTTGAAAACAATTGGGCCAAAATCCAAGATTTTCAAAAACCGAGACAGCCATTTGATGGACAAAAAAGAATCACGTATAACCTTTTTTGTTACGCCTTGATTCCTTTAAAAATGAAGATGTTAGCGGCGTTTGAACTTTTGCCGTTTTTTGAGGCGAAAATGGCGAAAATGATGTCACTAAAACGTCATTTTCTCAAATAATTTCCGACGGATTTCGCTCCAATTTTCAGAGAACGTGTCAAATTGATGTATGATAAGGTACCTACTGAATGTTTTACGTCGCTGGCGTAACGCGTTTAGAAGTTACCTATTGGCGAAAAACGGGAGGGGGGGCAGATTCTGCCCCCCCCCCCAGCGGGGCGTGGGTTAAGCGAGTACGTGGATTTATTAAGTGGATTTGTTAGCTATAGGTATCTATGGGGAAAATCCGTCAACAGCTCAAGCGGCCACAATAAGCGGCTGGATTTATTATCCGTGGATTTATTAAGCGGATTCCACTGTATATAAAAAATGGCGGCGCTGCGCGTTTTTGGATACGTGTTTATACATCATTTCCGCACATGTTGTGAAAATTTCAGACCCAGGTCCTTCAAGGTCAGGTCACCAGGTCACGTCAAGTGACATTACCTCAGAAAAAGTTCAAAGGCTCGCTATAGCTACCGAAGCTACGCCGACTAAACAATCACTTTGAAACTTTCAGCGATTGATATTAGTTGCAGTGTTTTTAAAATGTATTATGTATATCTCGGATTTTTTTGTGTATCTTTGATCTAAGGCAGGTCAACTTTGCGACCTTTTCATTTTAAGTCAATGGGAGAAAATTGAAATGCGTCTCTTTTGGACGAATG